ATAAACCAGCTCCAAACACACAGCCTAGTAATGGAAGTGGAATATAGAAATGCTCCTCTGCCATATTCCTGTAGACGCTGCGCTCTGTAACTGCATTGACTTCACCCAAAGAAGTGGGTCTTGGGTCTGGACTTAAGGGAACCTTTCCCAGAGCCCCCCGACTCCTCTGGCTCACGGAACGACATCCTGTGGACAATCTGCGATGTCCTCAAGCGCAGCCTGTGCAGTTCGGGCTTCATCCTGCTGAGGGAGGACTTCCTCCTGAGGACCTTCTGTGAGGGTCGGGCCTCCCCGTCCACAGAGTCACCTCCGTCGTTGGGGTTGAGGAGTCGGAGGGGCTTCAGGTTGGACTGGAGAGCCTTGGAGAACCTCCAACGGCCTCCGGCCCCGCGGCACGCGTCCTCCGGGTCAGAGCGCTCGTATGCTCCGATTATGTCCTGGATATCCACGCTCACACTGTCAGTGAGATACTGGCAGGCCTTCCTCCCGCTGTAGTCTCTGACCTCCACGTCTGCGCTGTAGGCCCCCACCAGGAGCTTCACCACCTCCATGTGGTTGTGCATGGCAGCGACGTGCAGAGGCGTGTAACCGGCGTTGGACCGAGCGTCCACGCTGACGGGGGTGTCGTTCTGTTTGGCAAAATTGAAGATCAGCGCCATCAGCTCGGGGTTGCCTCGCTTGGCCGCCCAGTGCAAGCAGGTGAACCCGGTGACGAAGTCCTTCCTCAGGATCAGACTGGGCTCCGTGGTGAGGAGGGGGTGCATGCTGCCCCACTCCCCGTCCAAGGCACACATCATCCACTCGTGTTCCAGCGGGTCCAGAGCCACCGGGGTCCTGTCGTCCGGGCAGGAGGAGACCAGGGAGGCCGAGTCGCTGTCGGTCCTGGATGACAAGTACACCGAGCCTTTGGTCACCGTGCTCCTCCTCGGCTGGGGGGACCTGTTCATCATGGCCTCCATGAAGTGTTTACGGCTGCCTTTGGGGCTGCAGAGTCCTTCGCTCCCAGAGAGGCTACATGTGTCCGACTGCCCTTCATCGCCATCCTCCTCCTCCTCATCATCATCAGACTCCAGCTGTCTGGAGGGAGCTCTGCTCCTGGCCACCACGTTACCGTGTTCTCCTTCTTCCAGGACTTCTGGGGAGAGCGCCTCGGCCTCCACCAGCCTGTCTCCGGGTTTGAGTCCCACACCACCTGTGGGAACTGGTCCTGTAGTACCGGTTTGCACAGGCCCCGGCATGTTGAACGAAGATCCCTCTGCAGGAAGAGGCGAAGCATTAGTCACAGATATTTCTGGTATTTCAGGCCCATGTCCGACCTGCTTCTTCTTGGACTCTCTCTTGTCTCTTTTAAAGCTGTCTCCGTTTCCCATCTCCTCTTCTTCCACTGAACAGACCAGCTGAGGACCCTCGCTCGAGTCGGCTTCCCCCGCAGAAGTGGATGCGGTGGTGAGATCAGCATCAACTCTCACCTGGCCGCTACTTCCGTAACTTGAGTCAGGTGGTTGCGCCTCACCTGCCGCGTCACTCCTGCCGTCTGAAGCGTGCGGATAACGGGGAAGGAGGTCCTCCGGATCGAGCCTCTCTGAACCGCGGAATCTTTTCTTCAGGCAGACATATTTGACTTCGCCCTCAGTCTTTACGAAAGCAACGTGGTCCACGTAGCTTTTAAAAGTCTTACGGACAGCAGCTCTCTCCTGCGACTCCCCCGGGAACACGAACTTAAAATGCTCTATTAGATCCGCGTTGGTCGCTTTGCCCCCTTTCCCCTGCAGAAAAACAAGAACGGCCTCTTGAGTGCAGTCGGACGCCATTGTAAACATTTAATCAATAATAATCCAATACCCGTTGAAGCCACTGAACAACTTGTACAGTCCCATACCAAAAAACCCGAGGAACTATCACGTGTCGTAGCAGAGCCGTGTCACCCAGAGCTTCTCCTTGCGTTGTATTCTAGCGTTCTCCGCCTCCTAGCAACCGAGTGCAGGAAACGGACTGTACCAACCTTCGGACTGTACCATCTGTTCCGCGGGGGGTTCATGGTTAAAAAAACGTTAAATACATTGTTTGTGCTGCTTTGGGGTGTTAAACACTTTCATTATGTCCACTGAAATGAAAACATTTAAACGAGATAATGTTTGGAATGATAATAAAAAAAATCAACATTTTTGTTTAGTCTTGTCTATATAAAGTATACCAGTTCTTTATCACGTGACGCCGCCTGTTCGTTAACAGATTAAATTAATTATCAAAAAGTGGACATGTGCTTATGTATAGTTATGAATAGTAGTTATGCAAATATTTTATTTTGAGTGTGTAATGGTTGAAGAGTATGTAATCAGAAACACAAACTGGTTGCCAGGTCACACAACAGGACTGAACAAGTCAGCCACGTGGATTTCCAGTCAAAAGTTTCGACACTTTTTTTGAGTGTCTGAATGAGAAAACGTGTCCAAACTATACTTCTGTATTTTATGTGTCACTGGCATTTCATGCTAACCAGCAGCAGACTTGGGGGAAAAGTGGCCCGGGGGTTACTGTAACATCAGCCCACTCCATCGATTAACGAGTAATCAATTTAGAAAACTCAATTTTTTACACTTTTTTAAACACAAAACTACACTTTTAAACATCTCCAAAGCAGAATATCACCAGATCAAACATGTTGAACTAGACACACTCTTCCTGCTGTGTGCAGTTTGCTGTGCTGTCAACTCTCCATCAATCTCCCGAGATTTAGTCGGGACGTTTTCCAAACCACTGTCTTTTAGCGCCACACTGGAGTTCCTCTGCAGATGGTGTACAGCACAGGGTAGATGTTCAGATGGAAGTAGCCCAGCACCTGTTTCGGGCCCTATCAGTGCCTAAAGTGGTCCGTTTGACGCTCGTCCCCCTTGTTTGACACATTGAGGAGGTCCTATGCACAGTTCTTGCGCCTTGGTTTGTTTTACTTCCAATGCAAAAATCTCTCTCTGCCTTGATCTCCCTGATCTGACTGCAGGCACGAGGCAGTTGTGTGCCAGAAGTTAACGCACACCAGAAGTAAATAAAAAGCTAAATTAACTGCGTTGAAGTGTTTTATCGCATTAATCTCAGCCACAATAATTATAGCATTGATTAACCCATTCATTTTGACAGCCCTAAAAAAATAGCATACAATTAACATTAGCCTATTTTGGAGTGAACGGCAGGTTGGTTGGTCGGTGGTAATTTGTCGTAGTCTGTGGTAGGATCCTTTTTCAGAATGAGTATCTTCGTGACCGTGGGTTTCCCATACGTGTTTCTTTCTAACTTCATTGACAATCTATCTTAGATCACGGGGACTTGCAAGTAGCGCAGCGTCTTAAATAAAGTGATGTATGTGTTGTTGCGAGGCTTTAGAAATGAACACAAAGGGATTCTATATTTGCTCCTAAAGTCTGAAATGGGTCATTTGGCACCTTTCTATGATGTTATAAGAACATGGCGATATTCAGAGGCATGGCAACGCGAAAACAATAGTGGGATATATTTATCGAAATAAATAAATAAATGAATAAATAAATTGAGAACCCATTTTCCATTTGCCGTTCTGGCAAAGGAACCTGCCACTGACCACTTTTCGCACTTGGCCCTACTGCTATTTGGGATAAATAACACCATGTGTTGTTTTATAACATTGGATCCAGCAATTTGCTTGGATGGACACATGGAATGAGATGCTATGGTTATTGTAACACTCCAAGGTAGGTAGAGTTTGCTACATCAATATGCTTGACTCCAGACGATAAATACACTGGACTATAGGGTAGAATTAGTATGACATTGTTACGGCAGTCGGTGCATTTCCGGTTGCGCTTTTATTTTGAATGTAGAGAAACCGGAAGTACGCAGTTCGAAGCTGGACGAAAACAAAAGGGTATAAAAACACGTCAGAAAGTTATGGTTTTATGAGTTAAGCACCTGGTTGATATGGGCACAAGATCAGTACCTGTACCTGAGCCCTATTCTCAGGTAAGTTCATAATGTGTTACAACAAGGCAGGTATAATTCCTGCTGTATGAAGCATTCTGAGCGTTAACACATGTTGTGCATCTCTAGGTGATCAAGATCTAGAGGATTTTTTTTTTTATTACAAAGTCCACTATGATTTGCACATTTACACAAAATGTTTGTATTTTTAAATGATCAGTTTTATGGCACAAACAGTGATTTTTACTTTGGGTATTTGGCCTGGGTCCATTAAACTTAAGGGGCAACTTTAAGATTTGATTATCTTACTCTAAACAATACGGTATATTGGTGCATATTCATAAAAGCCTGTGCTTTTTGTTTAGTCATCCGAACACCACGTCGAACAAATCACCATCACAAATCAGTGACGACAGGTGGCCCAGTAAAAAATGTGGGCTTTGTTAATCACCTGGTTGATTAGGAGGGAAAGCATCCATCCCACTTTGGATGGAGCAGAACTCATTTCAACATATCTGACCCAGTTTCTTTCTTTTATCCATGAGTTGCAGTCTTGCACACTTCCCTGTGCTTCCATCAGAGCAGTTACCCACCCAAAATAGAATAAACCCTACGGCCACTTTAAATCAAAGGTAAACAGCCGAGGAGTTCAACTAAATCACCGAAAAGTTAAAACCAACAACGCAACATTGAAACAAAATAGGAGATTTAACAGTGGACCCAAAGCGCACCCAAACCAGAAACAAAAAAGCCGGTTCTCTCTGAAGTGTACAGGGCCCCGGGCCCCTGTTCAGAATGACCATGGGATAGCACTGTAGCCACGTTTAAAGAGGAGATTCCTTCTGCTTTAATTTCAGTCTCGTGTCTCCAATGAATTTTTTTACTCGGCCCAGCAACCCCACTCATTTTAAATTAAATATTTTTGTAAGTAGGCAAGGATCGCTAATTAGAACTACCAAGTTTTCCGCTGGTGACCCGCGTATCAGAAAGCAAGTGATTTCTTTTTCCAATGGCAGGCGATCTACCGGCACTTCCTTGGCGACCGACCTCTGTGGGGAAGAGTCTGAGCAGGTGGTGTCCACAGCGTGAAGGTCTGCAGCGACCTTTCCTGTTTTCTGATCTACCGTTTATCCTCACACAAGTGTAACTTTTGAAAACAATTGTATAGAATGAACTTTGACCAGCACTGCTCTTTATTCTCCACAAATTTAATTTCGATGGGAAGTAAACATTCCGCTCCAGGTGGGTTGTGACTATTAGCTGGTACTTGGTTGGTTGAGCTGCTTAGAAGAGCTCTGAAGGGACATTTTCATATATTCAACGTGACTCATCTATCTTTTCCTATTCAGAAATCTAAAACGACACAAAACGCCGCACTGAGTGCAGTCAGAGCAGCTTGTCACTGTGCTGTTGGTTTCAGAGACTCCACAGCTGGAAGGACGTCACCCAGGTGACTCACTCCTGAAGCACACACACAAACACACAAATCGTGCTGCATGAGCATTCTTGGAGGCAAAGGCACAGAATCATATTCTACCATATGAAGGCTGTCATAACACATGAGCAAACGCAAAAGTATCACCTTCCTCTTGAGAAGGTAAATGTCATATTCACCTAGAGTCTGTAACATATCAACAATGAGGGCATGGAAAGCAGGAAAGAAGTCATCATGCTGCTTCACTTTGAGGATGATACTGGAAAACAAGAGCAGCTTGGATTAATGCGGACCAGCAGAAACACAACAGACCAAAAAACGTGTGTGCTCAGCGGATGGGAACCTGTCGATATCAGCTTCTCCCAGCAAGCTTTGGAATCCAGCGGTGTTCTGGGTGGAGGAGACCAGTCTTTCCACCCCATGCACCACCTCAGCAGGAGGAGCCCTGCTGTCTGTTACACAGAACCACAGAGTGCCGTGTAACTACTGTCCAGATGTTCCTCACACACTAAAGAACACTAGAGTCGGAGCTTACCGAGCTGCAGAACATCTCGCAGGTTCCTCATTATGTTCCTCATCTCTTCCAGCCTGCTGTACACCTCGTTCATACGTGGGTACACTCCGCTGAGGGAGCTCACGTCAAACAGCTTCTGGAAGTGAGACACCATGGAGCCCAACGTGTACCGAGTGGGACTCCTGAGCACCTGCGGGACACACACCACAGCACAAAAAGGTCATCTCAAACCTACGAGTGTGGGATCAACTGACACAGCGTATTCTACACCACCATGAGCAAGTAGCACGTAGTAGCGCAGGGTGGCACCTTGTCCTCCTCAGCTGAGGTGTTCTCCAGCATGCTGTCCACCAGCATCAGCATGTCCTCCACCTTCACTGCAACAGTATGGCCGCCATCACGCGGCTTCCAGGGCATCAGTCTGCCAGTCAACCGGTTTAAAGCCCTTTGCAGATCCTACCGACATACACATCCAACCAACACGCATAAAGGTGGCTCCACACAGCAGGTTCATTTCCAGCTCTTTGGTGAACGATGACGTGAACGTTCCTTCAACTGCTCAAGTGGCGGAAGAGCCATTTTCTTATCAATGTGTTTGGTTTAACCTCCCACCACGTGGAGGAGTAGGGCTGCTGCCGATAGTGATGATTCTAGTAACAGTCAGGACAGTGCAAAGATATATTTAATAGTGTACGGTAACACGTTTTATGATTTATGTTCATTTAGAATAGGAAAAGGTATATTAAGACAGTGAACATAAATGTCTTTGATTCGTGTTGGGAAAACAATAAATTATACAAATACAATACATACACTAAATAAAACAAAAGAAACATCACTTTCCACGGTGAGGCGGCCAGTGTGGTGGCCTTCTTTTGATAGACAAAGAAGCCACTACAGGTGGTGTTTACCTTCAGGAGGCGGAGCTGCTGAGCCCAGGCCTCCAGTGTGGGGACCACAGTGTGAAACTCAGCCAGGTCTGAAGCAACGGAGGACGGTTGGAATGGACCGTTGGAATCGGTCACAGCAGCTCGGATCTCCTTCAACAGCTGGAGTTCAGGACAAAAGATTGTACTGAGTTCTTAAGTTAACGAGGAGAAAGGAGATATTCAGACCGGTAAGGAACCGAAGAGCGAGTTTACATGGTGATAGCGGGCACAGAGACCAGCCTCCTTGGTTTGCTCACTCGTCTCACTGGTGTTATCTTCGTTTGGTGATCTGTGAAGAAGGTTGTTTCTGTATTAGGCTTGTTTATTATGATAGGTAACAGGACACAGGAAGCTCTCACATCTGGGAACTTTCTCTGGACCTCAGCACTCTTGAGCCCAAAATCCAGTTGAACTGTAAATTAGAAAATGCCACGTTCCTTAAGGAACTCACGTGGCTCTCGAGCATACACTGGATGTATAAGTGGACGTAGCGTCCCGCATTGTGGACTATGGTTTGTCGTCTTGTTTTGTCTGAGCCCAATAGGACCACATGTGGACAAGAGGTTGGAGCTACAGAAGGAGCACATTGATTAGCGATCCCACCTGGTGCTTTTGTGCTTTTTTGAGCCCTCCAGACGACGGAGCTTGTGCTTGTAGAACTTCACGTCTCTGAGTGACGGCCTACACAGGAGAACATAGTCAGCGCCTTCACTGATAGGACAGCGCACGTTTCACGTGAGAGGAACACACACCTTTTCTCCAAGTCTTGCTTCAGGCGCTCCACCTCCCTCTGCAGCTCTTCGGCCTGGGCGTGGCTTCTTTTTTGTTGTTCCTGGTACGCCTTGGAAGAAATGCATGAGCAGTATTACCTTCTGCTTCAGGGGGAGCACCTCTGAGAATGAGTCAACGCTTGTCAGGTCACCTGAAGGACGGTTTTGAAAGATGGAGTTGCCTCCTTCATTCCTGTCGGTTGAGCCATCGGAGATCCTTCTGGTTGACCTTTGACAGCTCTGGGGTGAAATGAACAACATCTAATAAAGCAGAGGCTTCCTACCCCATTAACCACTATGGGAGTGTCTCTCCGCCCATTGGCTGGAAACCACTGCTCTGGATAAGAGCTTGTTTCACAGGATTCAACCAATGGAAGAGACTGCCAGGCTTATCTGGATCAAAGTGCTCAGTAATAAGGAGAACACGTGGTACAATGCAGCTCATTTTCTTAGCCTGCGATACCTGAGCTCATCCAGCAGCGGAGTCATTTTGGTCTCGTAGAAGTCGATCACATCCAGCACCCTGCAAACAGGAGAACCGCGTCATCTCTTTACAGACAGCGGTTTGTTTCCACTGAGTACAGTTTGTAAGCCAGCAGAGGGGAACAGCCTGTGGAGCTACGGTGGGCATTTGGAAATGGACTTTTGATAGCATGAACATGTGACCCTCAGGGTGATGCGACTTGGTTGCCCTTAGCAACGGCAGCTGTTGAGTCCCCCATGTGGGAGTCCTCTAAAAGCCTTCAGTCCATCTTACATAGAGCTCACTAACTAGTCTGGATGGCTGAGGGATCAACGCTTTGTGCACATTCTGATGACGTCGACTGTAAAAGGGTGGATATCAATATCATGATATCTTACAAGGCCGTACAGAGAATAATTCTGTCTCGTCAGTGTTTTAAGGCCATGTTCTCACTGCTGGTCTGCTGGGGATTGCTGCTGGCTGACTCTTTTACAGATGTTCTGGAAGGTGCGGCTCTGTCGAGCCAATCGCTGCTCTTGTTCTCTGATGGTGAAGTAGAGTTTTCTCTGGAGCTGAGCTGCTTCCTCCCTCTGTGTGGACAGCTTCTGCTCCAGGACCTCACACTGTTTCTACGAGGATGAAACATCACACTCTCTGATAGCAGACAACGTGAGCGGTTAGAAATACAGAAAAAGTGAATCATTCTTTCAGCAGATGATTTTTTATTGACACCTGCTGACCCACCTGTGCTTCCTTCCTTTCCTGCTGCAGTAGGTGTGTGTGGCCGTGCTGTTGGGCGGCCTCGCTGAGGTAGCGACCTTCCAGGTCCTGGACTCGGGTCCTCACCACGTCCAGCAGCCCCTCCAGCTCTGAGACCCTCTGGGACTGCTGAGACGCTCGGCCTGTGTGCTGGTGAACCTCCTCTCTAAAACACACACACACACACACACACACACACACACACACAAACGAGCCTCTCGTCTGTCAGAAGCGATTGTGCATGCGTGGGGACCTGAGTGGTTTCTTTTTAAATGGAAGGGATCTACCAGCTCTGCGTTGGTGAAAGACCCCCTGGTCTATCGCATGGCCTCACCCAGAGTGCGACCCCCAGTGGACTTCTTAGGAATAGCAGCTACTTTTATGGAAATGCAATTTATGTCTTTCTGTAATTCTCAAAATAGCAAAGTTATTCGGCGGGCCGGATTTGAGTTTGACACCTGTGGCATAAATGATCACAGGGCATATCCAGCTCACCAACATATTATCCAGTATCTGGGACTAGATGACGAGAGAAATTACTCCCCATTGCATCTCAAAGGGACCTTTTTGGTTAAATAAACAATAAACAACCATAATTATTTGTGCAGGAACTCAGTTTGCTGATTGGTTTAATCAACATTTTTATGAATTGAGATTTCAAGCCTTACATATGTTTTTTAATATCTGATGTATGTATCCAGTACTTCTTTTGACTACACAATGGTTGTGGAGGACAATGGGCAGCCTCACACCTTCACACCCGCACCAAGCTGGGGGACAGGTGTCCCTCTGTGATGCTCATCTGATGCTGATGAGATTAGATGACAGGAGGACAGGTGGTCCACGCACACTGCAGATATATTATTAAGTAGGTACACACACGATCGCCCACAGTAATGTATACTGCAAGCATGTATACCCTGTTTTCCATACATTCCAGGAGCACATTATGCTATTTTTTATATTTCTTGACTCCTTGCGTCTTATTTTTGTAAGTGAACTTCCACAAAAAAAAAAAATACTGGTGCTTCTAATGTTTTTATCGTGGTATGAATATGTACATGTCTGAATGATGAACATACTTGAGTTGGTTGTTGGACTTGATGAGCTCCTGGATTAGAGCCTGTCTCCTCTCCGAGTCGGTGAGCATAGTCCTCAGACTCATCCGGATCTCCCCAGCTGACTTCTTGTCCAGCACAATCAGATCTAAGGACACACGGACAGTCATGTGACAGACACTCATCTAATGAAGAGTATTCAGGGAGTATCTTCAAACTTCTCACAGCAAAGTATCAGCACAAAGGCCCTCATCTTACTAATGACAGCTAAACTGGATGGCTTCCAAAGCAAAAACAAAAAGCCGAGAACAATTAAATCATCCCTAGAAATAGACGTTTAGCTAAGAATTTGGAATGACCCTTACCTGAAATATTCGTATTCCCTCCAGGATCTGCAAAATGCACAGGCTTAAAACCATGATGCTGCAGAAGTTTGTTGACATCATCCCATTCTACCTGCTCCTGCTGAAATACAGACACAATCAAATGACCATCAACATCACAGAGCAGCGTGCAGCCGCTGCAGAGATCGGAGCTCCACAGCTACCTGGAACTGCCTGCTAGTCCACAGACAAACAAACGTCTTATCTCTCGGTTGTAAAGACGGAGTTCTCCCGCTGTCCATGTTTAAAGTGTCCTCGACTGCAGCACGCGCTCACTTCAATCTTAACACAGCTTGCTGAGCCTCCTGTCCGGAGCAGCTAGTGATCAGGTTTCTGCAGCTCCTCCAGCAGAGGAGATGCCACTCCTGCACCACAGGACGCGTTGCTCCTCACCCAACTTACTGTGTATAATATAACACATGTTCAGCGTGGACTCACCTGCTCCATCGCTTCGCCCCACTGCAGGAGAGAAACCGCATGCACGGGGTTACGATTGTGTGGAGCTTCAGTCAGTTAAATGCTGAACTCCACTGAAAATCGGGCAATTTTACGATGCCGACGAAACACTGCGACCGATTAGAAAATAATACAATGTATTCGACATAGAAGCCAGGCTTTCAACTCAGAATGATACTTAAACGGCACATTTTGAATGGTTTGTCAACAAATTAACATACGACATCACGTTGCTTCAATATACCGCTTTCCGAGAAACTTTTTTTATCAGCTGTTACGTCCAAAACATAACGGAAGTAACGTTGGTTATTGACGTTAGCTTGGTTAGCTTCTGCAGCTAACACATCATGTCGGCTGTGTGTGCGCGCGTGTGTGTGTTACTGTTGTCGGACTGCGGATAGTTTTGTCATTATATACTCGGTAAGTTACCAGTTGTTGGTGCTGCCGTTAGCCGGGACCAGCAGCAGCTGGTTCACAGCAAAAGAAGTTTAAACTAACTAAACCTTCCACAAAACGCCTCTTCTACCATTCAAAGAAAAGGCACTGTGACGAATGCGTTTACAACCAACGGGATGTGGCTGTTCAGGTCGTTCACCAATTGGCGTTAAGTCCCGCCCATAGTTTCACCTACTCCCGCCCTGCTGTGCTGTGATCGGCTAGTACTCCTGTACTGACAGAAAAGGTTCATTTTATTGGTTTTAAACACTTTATTCAATACATGGAGGAGGACGCATACTACCATAGTTGATAGTAATAAGAAAATCCTGTACTTCCCCAAACTCTGCAGTCCTTTCTTATCCTCAGTGAGGTTTCCGTGGTAAACGAGAACACTGAATCTGTTGGATTCAACAGAGTCTGTTGGATTCTGTTGAAGGAGTTGAAAGATGCCACGGAAGAAATAGAAGAAGAAGAAGTCTTCTATTTCGTGTGGAACCTTTCACCCCTTTCACACTTTCAGCTATTAAAACCGTTCAAATATTGTAACAATTTAATTCGAACAAATATTATATGCTGAGCAAATATACAAATATACTGCCACCTACTGGTAGATATGAATACGTGTGCTCATTTACTTGGAGGTGGAAAACTAAAATATTAGTGCCAAAGGCAAATAGTCTGTGGCTTTCTCTGACTTTGATTAAACTATATTATTAAACATATTGTATCAAACAGTCCAACGATTATTGAGAATTGCTGTGTACATAGATTAAGGAAAATATATCTGCTTGTAGTCAACACTGTTACTAACACTCCTATTTTCCCTGGATTACTTATAATATTCATTAAATAACTTATCTTGTAATGGTACCCTGGCATGCATGCTTGCATTACAGACGCATACACACTTTCTATAACGTTGACCTTTACTGTGAAAATGTCCATGCGGGGAGACATTTATGAACAACACGCAGCTTTCTCTCCTCGTGACAGCTTCGGTTTGAAAATATATCTGCGCCGGTTGTAATAATTCATATGCAACACAGTCCGGCGTGAAATGAATCGACAAGCATCTGTTTCTAGTTAGATAAAGTCACACGTGTGTCTCCATTCGGTTCCTGTGAGCCGCCCCTGTGACGAGGTGACCGCACCCAGAGGAGAAGTTGACTCACACCCACCAAACCCGTAAACCGACACCAGCCGAGCCGAGCCGAGCCGAGCAGTCTGGACCCGGACTGAGACCACGAACACCCGCCGCAGGTTCTCCGCCCGAAGCTAACGGAGCTAGCAGAAGTTACGGTCACCATGGCGGGCTGTCTGAGGGTCGCTGTTCTCCTTCTACTGGTTACTGGAACTTTAACGGACGACGGTAAGATCCCCACCGCAGCGCCGGGGTGTGGAGGTCTCGTTATGGTGTTTTTCACTGGTGTGTGTCTGAAGGCGTAGGTGAGATCATTAAAGTTCACAAGGAGTTTTTTGTTTTTACAAAGGCCACAACATGTAACCTTGCATATCAGTTGCTTGTGTGGCAGTAGTCGTGTTGTTATTAATGCGTTACAAGGGGGGAGGAGGGGGTTACACTTGAAAGGAAGCTTGTGAGGACACTCGTCCACGCTTCACACCCTAAAGGGGCCCCTGCGGACCGAGTTACGGGCTCCTCTGACGGGACCTGATCCACACAGGTGAAGCGTGGGTCCAGGCCGACGTCAGCAGTGGATGGAGAACCATGTGCGTTGTGTTGGAGCTGCGCAGGCCCCGCCTGGCTCCAACGGGAGACTATGTGAACTCTGCCCGATTTGCTGAAAAATCTGGAAATACCTCAGGAAAAAAATCACATGACCAATGTTGTCACTGGGTATTTTCCATATTGCATACCCAGTGTGTTCATGTTGTTTATGCATCTTTACATGTGAATGAAGGTTGAAGTGGAAACAAGTGATTTATTTGGATAAGATGAAATGAGATCGTAGAATATGATGAGGACCATGTAGTGTTAAGCTACAGTGGGTATTTTTAAGGGGGGGTGGGTGGCGCCCAGTTTCAGCTTGTTCTCATTTTACAGCTGAACAGTGGACTAGAACATCATGTTTTCATGGCTCCTAATGGCTCCTTAAGGGACATCCTAAGCTGCAGAATACAATTGTGTCTACATATCTGTGGCAGGCCCTTTCCTGTTTACATGACAATCACCCGGTCTTGAAGAAATAGAGACCTGAGTTCCCTGACCTCGACCCAATTCAACCTTTCAGATGAACTGGAGCGCTATCTGCGGGTCTGGCTCGGGGGCCACCGATGGTTCTGTAGAGTAAAGCCAAAGCTTCATGTGTTATAGCTGCATCCTCTCTACTGACCACCAGGGGGCGACTCCTCTGGTCCTATAGAAGTCTATGAGAAAATGACTCTACTTCTCTCTGGATTTATTCAATCACTAATCATTGTAAACATGAGTTTATGATCACAATCTGTAGTTACAAGAAGTCTTCAATACAGCATGATGTTCATACAGTAAATGATGGTCCATTAATGGCATTGTCTGGTCTGGGTGTTGTCTGTGTTTTCATCTTACAATTTTAACTATTTCATTGAGATCTTTCTATGGAAGCTCATTGTAAAACGGTCGTTCTTATCTCCGCCCCCAACATGTCAAACCAGCAGGAGATGTCCCCGTGACTTTGTCCTCTTCTCATACACAGTCTGTGATCGTGCTTTGTCAGCCCGCTGCAGCGCGTTTTAGTTAAATCACGGCTGTAAAGGAGAACTGGGCCGACAAAGTAGCCACAGCTCCATTGTACCTCATCTGTCGGACGGCGTCAGAATGAAGCAAACAATGAGAAAGACAATATCCGGGCTGAAGTTGCTCCGAGCTGAGTCCGTGCCACTGTTTTGTGTGGCAGAAAACCACAGGCACGCACATGAGAGAGACTCGGCACGCTATTTGACGGAAATAGGCGAGGATGATATTTTGTGGCTTACAGTAGTGCTGATATGTTGTATCCATTACCAGTGAGCTTTATTTCTGTGATACATTCTGGTATAGCGTGTGGAGCGTGATAAACCTAAACCTAAATATAATGCTGTAACCCACAAAAGACAAGTACTTTAGTCAGGTTTCAATCAGGAAATGGAAAAGAAAGTAGTAGTATTATGTCAATTTCATCAACCGGCCTGAAATACAGTACTTTTCTGTACATTTTTAAATACAAAATTATACATAGCCAATGTGTTCTTATAAGTGCAATCTGATAAAAGTGACCTGGTTAGGTTTTCCTAACACCTCATCACCAAACATATATTTAATATTCAGCTGCTATATTGAACCATAAGAATCATGTGAGCTGAACCCGGCTTCTAACCCCTGTTGGTATGAAGAAATGATCTGACGTTGTGTGATGTATGAGAGAAATATATCCAACTTGATTCACAAGTCTCATTATTGACATGAACAAACAAACTGTGATGGAGCCTCGGTCCTCTTGTACCGCGTCCACGGTTTATGTGTTTTGAACTACTAGGATTACCAGCGAGTTTCACGTGGCTCTTTGGTTCTGGGTTCTGTTTTGTTAGTCTACTTCAGGATTGCAATTAATGCATTCATTTTTGCAGCTGCTTCAAGGAGTAGTCGGCCCCTTTTTCAGAGGACCGATGGCGGCTACCTGGCAGTGTGGCAGGTAGCGTTGATGTGGTGCATGTTGAACCACTGACGGTGACCTGTCATGAAGGCCAGAGCTTCACAAGAGGAGAGACGGTGTCCCATTGCCTCCTGGGTAAAAAGGGTTGGCCTCTGCTCTTTCTGTCGGGGGAAGCAACTTGCTGGTCCTAGTGACTCATGCCTCAAAGCATTGCGGTGTATCAGTCAGCGTCGCCATAGGAACCAAGCAAAACAGTGCAGCGCACGCCTTACAACACATGAACACATGTGCTTCCACTATGAAGGAGAGGACCTTCTGGTCAGCTGATCTATTGCCGATGTCTACGGTGGGTTGGTCTACAGTTTTTAATGATGTTCCTCATGTCTTCCTCTTACAGGGTTCGATCTCTTTGATGCTTTGGACGATCCAGGTGAGTGCTTTCTCTGCAGCGGGACATATACAATAGTTCACATGTGTGAAGTGGGCTTTTACAAGGTTCTGATCCATAGTCCGTGTATTGCCACTGGACAACCCGCCGCCTCTACCAGTCATTGTTAGCTGTGTTGCTTTTTAGATGATATGATGGGTGTTCCCTTTAAAGATTTACCTCAATGATGTGCACAGTAATATCACATCATAGGACAGCTAATACTAATAATAAATAAAAGAACTCAATTTCAGCTACGGAAATAATCAATAAGGTCACGCTGCTGTTCCTCCTAGGTCTGCTTTGTTCATATTCTAGAGAATTAAATGTATATTTTTCTCATTAATAACCTATTATTTGACCCCCTTAGAACTATTTTGCCTAAACTTACTGTTTAAAACTCCAAGAGCCCTAACTGATGACGCAGCGTTTTCCCCCAGGCCTGACACACATGTATCACATGTAGCGTGACTCCAACATGAGTCTATACTAACGCACTAGTATAGGGAAGAAGCTCATAGTGATGTCCCTGTTCCCAGAGGGAATTTCTCATCTATATATAGCCTGGTCCACATGGTAAGTAACCTGACCGGGACTAGGGCTGTCACAATGTCAAATTTTTGTTGTGCGATTATTGCACCAACGTTTATTGCGATATGCGATATTATTGCCATTTTCAGACTATTTTATGCCACTGATAACATAATGAAAATACAATAGCATATAGTAATAAAAGTGCGCTATTTCAAAGAACAAATAACGTTTTATTTGTCAGAATAGTTAGACATTAGAATCGGTGGAGACGGTGCTTTCAGGGTCCGATCGTTGCTGCGAGGTGCGTCCGCTCCCGCCGCCCCCCTCGCCATCCACGCCTTAAATCTTCGGCTGCTTTTAGAATAACTTATTTTCCCCGTTAAGATGGTTCAGCTACTGTAGAGAAAAGGGCGCCGTCTCTCGCTCTTTAATCTCATGAAGTGCTCGGCAAGAACGACAGCTTTGTTTCTCCGACGCGCCCTGAAACAAGCTCCATATCTCACACGCTTGAGCGCCGCTCAGCATCTCGCCGTCGTAGACCGAGCTTTGGCATGTTTGGCAGAGCGCCTTGAGCGCCGTGTACAACCAGTATGGATCAACCGATTTACCAATTGATCCATATATAAGGCGCTCCGCATTATAAGGCGTACTGTCGTTTGAGAAAATGAAAGGCTTTTAAGTGCGCCTTGGAGTGCGGAAAATACGGGTGTTGGGTTCACTGCTTCTCTTCACGTGTCGGTGTCCGTGTGCGATCAACTTAAATGTTGGTGACCTTTATTTATATGTAAAATGAATATCGCAGCAACAAAAAATATTGCATGCGATTTCAGAGAGTGTGCGATATGTCATTTTATCGCATATTGCGACAGGCCTTAACCGGGACCCGGGTGAGACCCGGTGAATCCCATCCGGTAGGGAGTTTATGTGGATCTCTGGTCTTTGTGCTAACATGGATAATAGCCAAATGGAAGTAAGCTAATTCTACATCAGCTAAATACCACACGATCTAATCTGACTCATATCGGGTCCTTTGTTTGAAGATGGGTTTATGTACTGTGTGTTCAGGTAAACTAAGAGCATGTTCTCTGTAATGCTTTGCCTCTGTGAGGCGATGGAGCACACTAATTATGATCTACTCACATTCTATACAGTGATCTGATGAGTGTTTTAATGCACTGAACAAATGTGCAGCAGACAGTAGAGCGTCAATAAATAATAAAAACCTGGAGCTTTCAGTCACATGGTCTTCTTCTGGGGGGCGGATGTTGCTCAGTATGAAACTCCACTGATGTCCATCGTCTCCATCACTACTTAGCAACCCTTCCTGCTGAGGCAGGAAAAAACCCCTAAGTGGACCTTTAGTGAATGTTTGCGGTCATGGTACATGGAGGTAAAGTGACAGACAGTTGGGCTGCTAATAGTAACGCCGCTTACTTCTTTCTGTTTCCTAGTGTCAACTCCAAAGCCCAAAGAGCAGCCGAAGGCCCCGGAGAAGCCCAAAAGTGACGGTTTGTATCTCTCCAGCTGCCACAGAGGACCTTTCTCTATTATTAGACTACCACATGAACACAGTGCAGTGTTCCCCCTACCATTATAACAGCCCCCCAAACACCCCCCCCCCCCCTCCAAGTTGTAAACCTAGGGAAAACACTGCAGGGGGAGCACTGAGGGGAGCAAGTCTCTGAATCCCATTGGGTGGGGCTTTGGCACTGTGGTGCTTTCAGCTAAATGCTAACGTGTAAGCCTTTGCATACTCATGTTGACTGTGGGATGTTTCCAATGGTCGCGACTCGCCAGTTTGCGACAGAGTCTGTGGATCTCCAACGTTATGACCGCTCATGAGGGGAATTGAATTGGAACATGATTCATTTGAATGTTTCTTCTAAATGTTGTGAGCATCCAGTAGTTGAGGAAAAGGGGTTGCATAAAGGGGTTGAAAAAATATTTATTTAGCAGGCACTTCCTCTTTATTAAATTTGTTTTCCACTTGTGCTGTGTTAAGAGTTCCATCCCTTTATATTTCCCAATGAGTATGTCACACACGCTTTACAATGGAGCGCAGTGCGATAGCACACAGGTGGTCACACAGGTTTGAGGCAGATCCACACCTGAACCGCCTTGTCTACACTACTTAAATGGAAGGGAAAACCATAGAGACTGAGATGTAGTAAATTCGCTCTAGATCGGATGCAGCCACTTCCTGCTTGATGGTGTTGTTGTGATGACAAGTAGCCTGATGGGGTGCGGCTGTGTGACTGACCACTAAAGTTCTTCTGCTCCCTTTCCCCTCCAGGTGGGCTGGACCTTCTCGACGCCTTTGGACCAGGTAAAGTTCCCTGTGCACGTTAAAGCTGCTGTGTCTCTCTCGTACCCTGAACCTTAAAAGGTGTCAGCCGATATTTGAAACATTCTTTCAGTGTGTGGTTTCAAGATGAGACTTAGTTGTGTTGTCCTCCACAGATCCGACTGTAAAACCCAAGAAACCAAGCTCACGAGACTCTGGTAGGTCTAACGTACGTCTCGTGGTTTGGAAGATTCTTTGGTAGAGACAAATGGATTTGGGGTTGTGGGTGTGTCACTCCAATAGATGAAGGGCTATGGACTTTTGGTGAACTGGTCTCACTTCGCTGACTTTCAAAATAAAAGCAAAAAGACAAAAAAAAACAAAGATGCGACTAGCATTATCTCATGAGTGAGGTCTTTGTGTCCTGTGCGTTCTAGGTGGCGCTGGACTGGATCTGGAGGATGCTCTCGGCCCTGGTAAGGAAGTTTAAAATGGTTCTAATATGAGATGCATTCCTCTGCATGAATCAAAAGCCCAAGTATTGCCCACGTCTGTTGCCTGGTGAACATGTTGTTTTCTTAGACCATCTCCATACATCTTCCACACAAAGCAGAATGGTTTGGAATGGATTAAACTTGGTATCATTACACCATTGTGTCTGTGGCCACTTGTCCTCCAGCCAATGTGTCCTTCAGCACCACCCTGAACCCCTAGAGACTCTCAGGATGAGTTGAATTGAGAGGTCAAAGGCTTCTATTAGCTAGATAAATAGTTACTCCATCTGTATGTGATGATTAGATCAAAGTTCTTTAACCTGCTTACTACCTACAGTGGTAACCCAGCGTTACTTTAAAGCTCGGCAAGGCTACACTGCAGCAGCTGTAGTTAGCCTTTCACGACGGAACTAATGTTTGACTATTTTAAACAGATGTCTTGTTTGTCTAAGTATGAAAGATAATAAGCAACAACATTGTTTTTTCTTTCAACTTGGATCCGTATGCCTTTCAAAACACCAAACACCCCCCTCACAGCAGGCCGCTCCTCTCTTGGTGCATCTCTGGTTTCTCGTTGTTCCTCCTGCATCGCTCTTTTCTGTGTTTTCTTCTTGTTGTGATAGCGGGCGAGCTGTACCCAGCATGCAGTTTGGCAGCGTCATTTTATAAATGTAAAATTACTAATGTTACAAATTGTTTATTTGTCACAAATTGTTGTGTCCTGGTGTTTTACCCTGTTAAAGTGTTTTTTGTCGTTTATTAATTGTTGTTAGAAAGACGATGGCAGTGTAGAGTATTACCCAATACGGGGACAAATAGGATGCTGCATTGACGACAGCTCGGAAAATACGGGACAAAAACGGGACGCATTATTTTATTCTCAAAAACGGGACGATTCCGTATTTTAACGGGTGGCAACCCTAATTTCAATACACGTTAGACAAATCGCTCCGACCACTGGCCCCTCGGCGGTGAGCGGGGAACTATACATTTTGCTGCCTTCCAAAGAGCGGCAACAGTCGTTACGCAGGCACCGGTATGACGGAGCGTGAAAAGTTCCTACCGTAAGGACATTTGAAACCGGTAAACCGCCCTTCTTTCTGGCTTTAAACCTGAGGTTCGATTGGACTTCAGAGTATGGCAATCATTTATTGGAATTGTTAATTCATTTATTGCTGCATTCCTAAGTTGTAATGGATCGGCTTTCTTTCTGTGTTCACTAAATGTCTGGTGGCGACAACCTCTTTGTACCCACAGATCCTCAACCCAAACCTGATAAACCTGCTGTGAAGCCACCAAGCAGTGGAGGTCAGTCTTTTTTTATCTGCTCATTTTCTTCATTAAATCCAAATTTCAGAGCTAAGACCTCAGAGCGTCGGTCCTCCTCACGCTGGTGATGTGGTGGCTCCAGGCTTCACGTTTTAGGTTGTTCTTCTGTATCTCAGCAACACCGTGAGCTCATTTATTCTAACTCACCACAAAGGTTTTCCTCCATTCCAAGAAATGATTAGAATGTTCTGGTCAAAGGTCACCAAGCTCCCAAACCATCCGTCCATCTAAATAAATGTGAGAGCTATTGAGAACACCTTGTTGTTTTTAGTAATGAGATAATTGATAGTAAGAAGATTGTAGATTGTAATATCTATAACAGCCGGGTTGGACATGTCAGCTTTACTACATACATCCCAAAACTGTAATCCACAGTTTAAGAGTGGTATAAGATTGGTTTGACACTGTGTTGTTCATTTCTTGAAGGTGGAGGAACCTTTGGTGACTCCGACTTATTGGACGTCAGTGGTGGAGACTACAAGCCCGAGGGAGGTGGAGGTAGGACATCAGCACCACCTGCCAAATTCCTCCATTTGCATTGTGGAAATAACACTTCCTGTACCGTTTAGCATAGTTATTATTGTGGTGCCTTGATGAGCTGTCAAACTGTAGAGTTTTTGTGTGATTGTGAGTCAAACACAGTTTAGATCTCAGTTTACAACCAGAGAAGTGAAGGTTTAATAAACAACGTCTGGTCTGACGAACCCCCAGCTCATAATTTAATGATAGTTTATCATGAAAGGACACTCTCGGCCATGATACGCTGCATTATTTCCCAACATGCATCCGTCCAGTCCAAAGTAACATGAGCTGAGTGTCTCCAGATAATTTATTCTCATTATTTATCTGTATTATCATGATTAGTCCGTGCCAACGTGTGAACCGTGTGTCCCTGTTGGTTTGAAGTGAGACGTTGAACTGGTTTCACACTGGGTGACGTGGTCTCCTGGTATGTGCCTTTAGTCCTCCGAAGCTCATATGCGCACACACGCCTCATACTGCCAGAGACACGTGCACAGGCGCACAGGTAATGAGCTCCTCGTGGATTTATGCTTGAGGCCAGGGCAAAGTTATGCTTGTACAATGTTAAGATGCCTGTTGTCCTCCGTACGGGATAAGTTCAGTCCCAGTCAAAGGTTTGGACACACCTTCTCATGGAATTGAATGGGCAGGTGTGTACAAACATTTGACTGGTACTGTATATTCGGTTACTTTGGTTTATTCATCCTCCTCAGAACCTGCCGGTGGGATAGAAAAGCAGGTTGTTCCAGTTTGCATAGCATACGTATTAACGAGTCTCATTATGATTTATGGCCCTATAACTTTGGTACATGTTGGGTTTCTCTGTACGTATGAGGGTCCTGTTCCATGACCTTTTATTTTGCGGCACCGGCTTCACAGGGTTAACCGCTGCCCACTCATGTCCATGCCCATACTGTGACATCATGTGAATCCCGGGAGGCTCAGGAGACCAAGTGAAGAGACCTAGGCTCCGCCCCTGTACCCACGCTTCCTGTCGCTCTTTGTGTGGTGTCTCCGTGCTCTGGTTCAGCCCGGGCCTTGAAGTCATTAGTAGTTCTTTCAGCAGAGGGAGGGAAGGGAACCGAAAGCCGCAGCCTGTTTGGAGACACATGGCTGCTTTTCAGCAGCTTTTGTAGCCTGGCTGTATACATGGAGCCACACACTGTTAGGTCGTAGTTAGAAACCACAAAGCCTGCTGATTACACCAGAGAACAATCACAGCACGAGAAACAAAGACACTCAGTCGACTAGTAAGTTTTACTTGCTGCAAGGGGAGCCCGGTCAGTACAAGAGCCTTCACTCGATCACAGCCAACTCCGACTAGACGTCCCCATGCAGTCTCCTTGTATTGAGCTAGTGAACTATGTAAGCATGATGAGTCGACACAAAAGGTCAGTAGTACAGCAGTAATAGCAAAAGGCATTGTACACCAAACTGGGTATGTCGACTCGAGGTTTAAAACAGCTTGCACAGGTGAATGTATGTGTGCGTCAGATAACGTACGAGTGTCTGCAAATGTGTCTTGGACTTTCTTCCTATATATTGAGTTGCTTTTCAGTTTGGTGGAGAAAATACAGTTGAGTCCACCGTTTCCTGTTTTAACGCAATTAAAACAGGACAATGAAACAGTATATGGCGTAATGATAATAGCACAATAAGCAGTATTCCCTAACACACACACTACCCTGACTCACCCTTACCTCCTATCTTTTGAATCCAGGTGGAGCAGGGGACTCCGGCTACAATCAGGGTACGTTTCACTCTTCAGGTCATAAAACCATTGCTGTTGTTATTCATAGTTAATAGAGAAGAGCACAGAGGCCTTAATAGCAACCTACCGGCTGTCCTTCTCCTCATACTGGATTTTGCATTGTGTCTCTCTCTCAGGTGGAGCCGACGAGCCTAAAGGTAAGTCTATATCCCGTCTCTCCCTGTGCTCTTCTTGGGCTGCTTCCTGTCTTTGTGTCAGTGCGGGCATCGTTACGTCTCCCTGCAGACTCATCTCTCCGTCTTGTTGGCAATTTGCAGTTTCCCGCCTGAGAGGATTGGTGTTCTCGTTGCGGGGGCCAACAGTTGTTGTGCTGGTGGTCTTTGTGTCTTTACTCGCGGCGGCGATCTACGTTGGTCACTCTCTATTTGAATCGTGGGTCTTGTCCACATGTTCACCTGACTTATGTGGTGTCTCTGAGGATCAACTGATAGCCGGCTCAGGGGTCTCGTCTCTGGTCGCCCCAGTCCGGTTGTCTCTGGCTAAAACACTGCTTCGATTGTGTGTCGTTGCAGATCCAGAACTTCTGTGGGGCCAAATCCTGAAGACGCTAAACGCTAACATGCCAGAGGAGTTCTATATGTGGATATCCAACTTAAAGAAATCGTTGATGCCTCTGTTAGAGCGGGCCATGGATCTGCTGCAGGCCGGGCCGTAAAAAAGGGCCTTTGACAGCGGCCATGTGGAGGTGGTAGATGTCCTCCGAAGATATCCCCTCCTATCGACTCGCAGATCAGCCGTATAGTTTGGTGCTGGTGGACTCTCCCTTTAAGTTGTCTCAGGTTTACAGTGTGCTGTGTATAAAGCATCGGCCCTTTTTTTGTTTCTTTTTTGCTTTTACCTCTTGGCTCATAGCGTCTCACATAGAAAACCTGTCTCCATGTGTGTAACGTGAAGTGAAAGAGTGTTGTTCTGTTGTTCGCGACGTGTGAGACTGTAGAATAGGGTTGCCCGTGTAGGTTGTTTTTAATAAGCTCTCATGACTCCCTGTGTGGCTCTGTGGAGTTCTCCTGCAGCTGTAGAATCTGTACGTACGGTGTGTGCTTGTTAGGGTAGAGGTCAGGACTCTTCACGCGGCTCATCGACTGGCCGTGGAACTCATGGGTATTTCTCTGCGTTCTCTTTGGGACCAGTCAGGATATTTATTGGGGCGTGTTCTTTGAAGTAGAAGCTTTTGTCTTTGTGGGATTTGTGAGGCGGCTGAGATGATTACATTGTGTAAGTCATGAGACGTATGAAGCATAATGAATAAAAGGCAACATTCAGCGCTCACTTCACACTGTGTTTGATTTGTTACTGCAGAACCATCACACACACACACACACACACACTGTGCTGACTGGGGGGCCTCAGGGGCCGGCTGGATTGTAGCTCTGTATTAGAACCAGGACTTAAGCTGAGCCTCAGAGAAACATTCAAAGTCTTTTAACAGCTTCATCACGAACAATGACAAAAGACTCTGATGTGTAAAAGAAATAGCAGAGCACACAGTGATATATCACATGATATAAAAGCACCATAATACACTATAATGATGATGCAGGGACATTGTGAATTCACTAAACCAAATGTTTATAATCGTGCACACACCAAGATACGTGTTTTTCTCCTCCTGTATTCATATGCAGATAATTCATAAACAACTAGCATATAAACAACCTGTGTGTGTGTGTGTGTGTGTGTGTGTGTGTGTGTGTGTGTGTGTGTAAGAAAAACACTGTCTTCATCTCTTTTTTATGCCCTGGTGACGCCCCGTTTTAAAACACAGCACGATCACAGCCGACTCCTCTCGCTCATGACTGTGTGTGTGTGTGTGTGTGTGTGTGTGTGTGTGTGTGTGTGTGTGCATATGTGTGCCACACCCTGCCCTGGAGTTTGGGCGTGTTCCCATTTATGCCTCGCTCTCCCTGTTCTTTCTCTGAGGTGTTCTTGCTGCTCACTGACTCTCTTTGTTTGAGCGTTGCTTGGCTGGTCTCACAAAGCCCTTCTGCCCAGTGGGCGCAGTGGCTTCTGGGAACTCTTTGCGGCCTCAAGTAGCTCTAACACCTACCGAGTCGTGCACCGCCCCCTGGTGGCAAACTGAGGTTACGACATTCTACAGGTCCAGAAACATTTATGGTGTTATGTGTCCATCAAGTGGAGGGAATAGATCAAGAGGTATGTGGAGCAGATGAAGTTTTACAGCAGTTTGCTGTAACACTGTGTGTGTGTGTGTGTGTGTGTTGTGTCCTGCAGAAGCTGGACCGGGACAGATTGCGGGCATCGTCAGCGCCGTGGGCGTGGCTCTGCTGGGAGCAGCATCCAGCTACTTTGCCTACCAAAAGAAGAAGCTCTGCTTCAAGCTGAAAGGAGGTCAGTATGCCGCTCTTCATCTGGCACAGTCACCACTCCACAGAGAAAGAAATCCCCAAAACAGCAGGAAGCTGCTCACACTGACCCGTGTTGTCTGCGTAGGTGCAGATCCAGAGAGCGGGAGAGGACAGAGCGACGCACAGTCCGGTCTCCAAGGTGGGTTCATGTTGCTGCAGGTTGTGATGTAAAAGTATTCCCTATGCACAGTGCTATGTTATTGATGTATTATTATTAATGATATTTCAGGGCCCACAAGATAAAACAATATATCTATATCTATATATATATATAGATACAGATAGTTGCCGATTCGATCCATGGACGAACTGGGTTAATTTAGAACGATTCGATTCAGTGACTTGAAATCGATTCAGTGACTTTACTGGACAGTGCAGGCAAAGTTTCTGAGATCCCTGTTGTAAGGAAATCAGGTTTAAATTAATTATGGATATTATAAACAAGCAAACAACAATTGATGGCAAATGTATTAACCTTTTATATGAAGTGCCATTTTCAATGTAAACATTACACAATAATTACACAATGTTCGGATCAATTCACAGAACCCCGGATTTTCAACCACATTGTAGGGTCGCATGTCTTTACAGATAAACTTGGCAATTGTTACTGTGATGTTGAGTTTGGTGCTGGCGAGGCCTGAGGTGTCTGCAGAGCTGGAGTTACCTGCTGCTGCTGCAGCGGTGACGCTGCTAGAGGTCCTGACTGTCGGCGCTGTTTAATCCCACGGCGCCTTAATAGATGGCCGGAAAGATTCGTCGTGTTTCTGTGGTTTTTTATTTGGCTTCTACATATTCTACAAAGAGCGACCGACTTATTTAGAACACCTCCGTGTTTGCAAAAGCCAAAATGTTTCCACACGCTGGATCGATAAGTTAGTTTGTAAATGTCTCGCTCGCAGTCGTCTCCTCCACGCTGTGTTTTGTTGTTCCGAGTTTCACGCGGCTGCCGCTGCGTACTGATGACATCACAGACAGGCAGACTGAATCGAGTAACGTTTAACGTGTCTAAAGTGCTAAAAAACAAACAAACAAACACACATCCATACAGGTTTTGTACTTAAATCCAATGTGCAGTTTCCAAGTATCGATACAATCGATTATGTACCATTTCAATCGGAATCTGTTTGTAATCGATATATGTCGTCCGGAATGACGATTTGCGGCGCATAGATCGATTCAGTTGGATCGCAGGAATATTAATCGATTCAGAGAATGAATCCTTACACCCCTAATACATTTTTTACTAGATGAATGTAGTAGTGCAGTAAAAAAAAAAGTATTCCTAATCCATTGATGGTTCTGTTCTCTCAGTGTTCAGCAACCTGCTCAAGACCTCCTAGACACCCTGGGACAGTCAGTGGGACTCCTCCTCGCAGCTGGCCTTCTCTCTGACCCCCCCCACCCCCTCCTATCCGCTGTCATTGGTCCCACGTCTGGTCTGAGACGGGACAGTCCTGTGGCCCTTCACTGGATGCTGAAACGCACACCACAGACACACAACCGCGCTCCTCGGCTGATGCTGAGGTGTCTCCCCCCGCCTGTATATGTCATCTTCATATCTTACCCAGTGCATCATGCATATTCCTCATTTGTGTGTTTTGTTCAGCGTCAGACGCTCACTGAAAATACTTGTACACTTTCTCTTTGATTGTTCTGTTCCCTTCGATCAAAACCAACCTGTGTGTGTGTGTGTGTGTGTGTGTGTGCGTGTGTGTGTGAGAGAGCCTCTGCTTTACTGTCCCAGGACCCGTCTGCCATGTCTGCCTCTGACATTTCATGCTTTTTCTCAGTGAACCGACCCCCTGTGGTTTTCACCAGTCTGCCTTAAGCCTAGTTTATGCTTCTGCGTTTTCAGAGCGACGCAGACGCAAGACCCTCTTGCGTGTCCCTTGCGTGTCCCTTGCGTGCCTTTTCACACCTCCTTGCGTGTGTTGACCCATTTTTCTAGGCTTGCGTCGCTTTCGACTCCCGCAGCGCACCAGGCTGCGATTGGTCCGCTAACTACGTCCTTTACGGAGTCTCACATTTCCGCTTTCATAGCCCGATACCGCCGTTATTAAAACGAAGAATGTTTACGAGAGAACGGATCAGATTGAAGAACTTTTGTCGGAAGAAATGCGCAAATATGACAAGCTTATACAAGCCGTCATTGGCGGGTTGTAGAAGCGGGTTGGATTCACGGAGGGAGATCGCCGTCGAGAGGTGCACAAAGTTGTGGAGGAAAATACGGGACAAATGTGTCCGCGATGAAAAGCAGCAGTGGCGATGCACGGGGCAATAAAGTCTATGATAAATAAATAAACAAATAAATAAATAGACGTGACTCTCTAGGTCGTTTTCAACAAAAACACGTTACTCCGCCTGTTGTTCTGGCGGTGAATTGCTCTGCAACACACGCAGAACCATGAATTGAAACGAGTGCGTCGACGCAACGACGCAGACGCTGAAGCATGCGCCGGCCTTTAAACACCTGGACCAGGTCAGCAGCAAAACTAGGGCGTCCCCATGACAACGACAGCTGGCCATGCTGCCTCTCCCTCTCTTCTCACACACCTTTTCCAAGCACAAACCCTGCTTCGTTTCCCCCTGCTTGTGATTGGAGTGACTAAATGTCACCAGTGTTGAGGGACGACGCTGCAGATGGGAGCCGCTAAACAGGCTTTATTGTATTAAATAATGATCATATGTCCACTTAGCAGGGCCAGCTGTTACTGTACGCGTCTCACAACTTTACGTAGAGAAATGGACGCTGTTGGCTGTCTAACCTCATGATGTGGGTGACGAGGGGATGCTCGCTGTGGTTATGCAACAGCTGTGGTGGGAGCGTTCGAATTACAGGGTTACCCTTTAAGGGTACCAGTACCAGCATGCAACACCCGAATACCAGTTTGAAAAATACAAGAAGGTCCTGTCTGTCAGATAAAGCTCATGTCACAGAAAGGTGCACTGTGAACACCCAGTGATAAGAGCCAACGCACAACTATGACCAGAGGAAAAACGCATGAAAGAAGAACCCGTCGAGGACAGCATCCCCCAGATCGTACAGTTATCTCAACAATGCCGTCCCCATGTCACGGAGCTGGATCTAAATCTAGCAGAAAGAGATTTATTAATATCAAATGCTGCTTGTGAGGAGATGTTACATGTGTACATGCGGAACAAGTACGACCCTCTGTATCACGCACGTTGATGTGACACACAGAGCTTTTGGTTTTTCATTGTGTTATTCGATTTTGTTCATAATTTGACTTGTATCTTCTTAAAGCTGCACCAATCCCAATTTTTACATCAACTATGAAACTTCACCTCCACGGATAACAAGCTTCTTTTAGCCCGCCGCTTGGCTCGGGCTGCTGAGCACACAGCAGCATGTAAGTAGAAAACACACTTCCCCAGCACGTCAACACTGTTGTCCATTCATGCTCCGGTTGCGTTGCAGCTGCTGCGTGTCTAAATATGCAACTGAGCTTCCATCATCTTGCCACTTCCGCACGTCCCTTAGTGATCGTAATGCCCCCTCAAGATCAGAGGACTTCACACGTGTATTTCTCCAGGAAGGAGTCATAGGCCTGTTGCATGGTTCATTTCCCTCAGCACATACAGTATCATCATCAGAGGTTGTTGTTATGATGCTAGAATATTAAAAAGAGTTGCACCCTTGTGAGCTGTAAATACTTCATAATAATGCGAGTTATTGCTTGCTGACTTCTGTTTTGGGATTGATGTTTGGCAGTGTGCCTTTTTCATTATTATCCGCATGTTCTCCTGAAGATTCTCGTCATGTCTCACAGGTATATTAAACGAATGTTACTTTTGTGTGTGGATTTAAAGTGTTTACATGTTACCAATAAAGCGGTATTGTACAGTTACTCTGCGTTTGGACCACGCTGTCAGAGGGACTAAAGTTTATGGAGACCTTTTTACTCTACGCTGTTTTTTGGTTTCGCAAATGTACAAACACAAAGATGGAGTTTCCTCCATAGAAAGAAGTTACTATTTCAATAGGAGCCGCGTCCCACTTGTTTGCATTATCTTAGTAAAGCACGTGCCTTCATGTAGTTCTATGCTCCGTTTACTATCCGTGTGTTTCCTCCATTATTACTGGTGCAGTGAAATGTGGAGGGAGGGGTGGAGAGCTCTCTTCAGAGGGACAGCAGGCAGGAGGTGGAGGCTGTTGCTCAACACTTGGCAAGGCTCACTATCTGCTGGTTGAATGACCAGTTGATCAAACAGACGAGCGCACAAACACACACACACAAACACACACACACACACACACACAGGGTCTGCTCCACCCTTTACTCTGGTGACAGGATGGAAGGTGACACTGTGACGCGTCAGATGTTGATTCATCCCGTCAGTATTTAAAGTTCCGTACACACACCAGTAGACCATCCCGGATCGTCTCTGCGGATAAAGCTGCTGGATTTGCACAAAATTTCCAAGATGTCAGGTAGGTGACATCCTGTTCGGTTTTAAAAACATTCAAAGATGAGATTGTTCTACTCATCGATTGAGGGCAATTGGGTAATAACGGGGAGTTGACCATCTGTACACAGGTTAAGTCAGGTTAAAGAAATGAAAGACAAACAAAGAGTTGCCCCCAGGTTTCCAACTTTGAACCTGGAGGACAGGACAGTGATCTTCTCCAGTTGGTATGTCATTTTACGCACGGACCTAGAATAAGAACGGAGCGCGTGCTCGTGCTCCCTCTGCGCCGTGTGCCAGCTGGAACGTGACCCTACAAGCCGCTCACAGAGCCCTGCAGACTAAAGGTCAGCGAGCTCTGCCTCCGGCTGCCGGCCAGCCAAATCACACCATGGCACTTGGTGTTTCACCTGAAGCTGCTTCCACCCCTGACGCTCACACCATGAGAGAAGCCAGAGCACAATCAGAACTCCAGTCCTTTTGGGGGTCGTAACTGGAACACACCCTAATGCCTCTGAAGTATCGTGAGCTTTTGAAAGCATCTCACTATGTCTTTAAACACACTCATGAAGCCTAAAACCCAATGACCATCTAATGCAGAGTTACATCTCTAGATCTGCTTGTGCATATGGGCCCTTTGTTTATGTCCTACAGATAAACAATTGTAAATCAACACAAAATGTTGCTGAAATAGACTTTTTTTTAATTTATCTAGTTAGCATTTTCGAACAGAACTACATTTGTGAATCTCAGCGGGGTTGTTGCTCGTTCTTCACTCTTTTATTCCCGTTGTGTGTCACATTAAAACTCCAGCAGGTGGAGATAATGCGACAGTTATGGATACTTTAAGAGGTGTCCATAAATGCCTGTATTTCTCTAATAGGCACTGACATCACCAATGCTGGTTAAAACCATTATAAATGGTCCAAATGATCTCCTCATTGTTACACATTCGCAGGGTGCAGCACCTTCCCGACGTATGAGAAGATCCAGAAACAAAATTCCTTGAAGAAATGCTAAGTTGATGTACATGTGATCTGTACATTAGAGGCATAGATGCTGATTTACATGCACGTAGGTCTCTAATTATTCATCTGAGCATTGTGTTTGACCAGTTGAGTATGAGAATGTTTATTGACACACTGGAAAGGCCTCACACACCTCACTGTGGTTTTGTGGCTGTCATCACGCTGGCTGCTGCATTAAATCAGTCATTGAATAACCAAGGTAGATGCCATCTTTTTAAATATGGCTGAGGTAGAATAATGCCAATCATAACCATGGTTTGATAGCATTGTTGTATTTTCCTTTGGTTTTACAATGACATGTGCAACCAATCTTTTATGATACTTACTCACAGTAACAGTCAAAAGATTGGACACATTTTCTCATGAGAAAGTGTTTCCAAACCTTTGGTTTGACTGTACGTTACTTACATATAATCATGAATGAACACCACTTTGTGAATTTAATCAGTAGAAGTAAAAAGCTAACGTATATAGCATAAAGGTGGTCATAGTTTTCACCGTGATGACGTCTAGTCCTCTCATACAGCCGCAGACAATATTTCAGGCACTTACCAAAATCCATTAAAAGAACACTTGAAACAAACAGGACATGATAAAAGGCTGACTCACTTCCTGTTTTCATGGAGCACTCGATATGGAGTATGCTCTGGTCAACACATCATCTGACATGGACCTTCTACTACCACATTCTTCTAATACCTCCATTTGAAAGATGCATCCTTTTGTATCTCCAACCGCTTCCTAGCAAGTGATTTACACTCAAGTCTGTGCTCTCCTGGTACAATTTACTGATGTTTGAGAACTAGCTAGCACACAACTTTATATTCAGACTCTATAACGGACCTTTGGTGAGCCGGTGCAGCCATGTGCATATTCATGGAGACAAGAACGCGTTCCACTTAACCCCAGGCGAGGTGGAGAATGCTGCTGATATCAATGATATTAATGATATAGGTCTAACGCTGTCATGTAAACCCTGTGCTGCAGGGGAGGCCTTCGTCACCCTGGCCACCACAGACTCATACTGCATGGGAGCCATAGTGGTGGCCAGAAGTTTACAGCGCCACGGGACGACTCGCAGCACCGTCGTCATGGTGACACCGAACCTCTCACAACAGTCAAGGTGGGCGATAAACCCCCTAAATGAGGAGGTGGATGGAGGTGCTGGTTTTGGGCCCTAACCGTCTCCATCTTTACACGTCAGGCTGGCGCTGGAGGACGTGTTCGATGAGGTCATCACGGTGGACGTGATGGACAGCGACGACCATTTCCGCCTGTCCCTGCTGGGACGTCCTGACCTCGGCATCACCTTCACTAAGATCCACTGCTGGACCCTGACACAGTACAGCAAATGTGTCTTCCTGGACGCGGACACACTGGTGAGTCCACTGCACACGCAGTAAAACCTCCTTTTTTTGGCCTTTGATGATCAAAAATACATTTTAAGCAAATATTTTTTTCACATAAATGACACATACGCGTTATTTACCTAGAATGTCAGAAGTAAGGGTCCTGAAGATGAGCAAAAGCAGGAGAAGTTCTTGACTCTGCAGCCAGAGGGCTTGAAAACAAAAAGAGAAGCACACAACCAAAACATGAGGAGCACAAAAAACATTTAGAAACGAAAGATTAGATCTTTGTCATACAAATTATTATTTTCATCCATCCACGCTAAAGGCGCCATCCTTTGTGAAACATTGGAGCGTTTTATAACCAGGGCAATCCAGGGCAGTCGATGTGGAACTTCCAGCCTTCCAGTTTTTTTTTTATTTCAAACCGTAGCTTTGATCACTCTTCAGAGGAATAATTCACAGCAGCAAACACACAGGGCTCTGTCTAAATAAATCCATGCTACATCAAAGGTATTGTACAAATCCCTGCAGCATTTAAACATGGCGGCGTATTGACCCCCCTGCACATAACCATTTGTCGGCCAATATGCTTCTACGGGTCACATGGTGACCTGATGTCCAATGTCCCCATGTCGTTCCCGAAGTCAGTAGACGTGTTGGGGACGTGTTCCTTATCTGTTGGCTCCCTGTAAACATTTTCTCATGTTAGCAGCATGAGCAAACTTAAGGTCATGCCTGCACCGAGGCACAGACATCTACTTGTGCACACATGCATTGGTTTGCTCAACCAAATATCACTAACGTGCATGGGGAATAACTGTTGGCAAGCAGTGCCACATGGGAGCCCCGTGATTGAGACCATAGCTAAATCATAAGCTGTGTCTCAATTCAATGGGCTGCATCCTTGTAGGACTCCTCCTTCGTGGCAGGCCTGGACTGGGTCCTCCAACAACCCAATAGGCTGAATCCAGCGGTCTCTGATAAGCTTTACCTCTGCTGCTGCTATCGCTTAGCAACCTGCTGCGCTTCACAGTAAAAGCCTTAAAACTTACAGATAGAGAAGGTAATTCATTTAACTGAAATACGATATTAAGATAAGGGGCGGCATGGTGGCGTGGTGGTTAGCACTGTTGCCTCACAGCAAGAAGGTCCTGGGTTCGATTCCGCCCAGTGGCCTTTCTGTGTGGAGTCTGCATGTTCTCCCCGTGTCTGCGTGGGTTCTCTCCGGGTTCTCCGGGTTCCTCCCACAGTCCAAAGACATGCTCTGGGGATCAGGTTGGGGACTTTAAATTGCTCGTAGATGTGTGAATGTGAGTGTGAATGGTTGTGTGTCTCTGCGTAGCCCTGCGATTGGCTGGCGACCAATCCAGGATGTACCCTGTCTCTCGCCCGAAGTTAGCTGGGATGGACTCCAGCCCCCCCACGACCCTGTGTGCAGGATATGCGGTTTGACGATGAATGGATGAAATAAGATATGCTTCTTTGTCGGAGTCTGATATATTTCAGGCTGAGAGAAGAACATTTTCTGGTGATTTTAAATTCAAAGTAAATCAGTCAAGCCCTGTACGTTCAGCTAAAAGTAATATTGCAATCTTAAGGCAGAGGAAATCAATCAATCCTGTGAATAAAAACCACAACAGCAAACACATTTATTAAGTTGTATGCAATAACTCTTCATTTTCTTTCATAAACTACAACTATATCTATAAAACCGTCATTAGCCAACCTAAAGTGTGCAAGTTAAGTCATTAAAGTGACTTTTCACTAATGACAACAAACAATCTGCGGCTCCCGGTAACGTGATCCGCTCGTTGTGTATTTGTTACAAAAGTGTGTTGGTACATTGATGTTCATACATAGACCCAGGGGGGGGGGGGGGGGGTTCAGGGGAAGGGGCAGCCTTTGTCAGTGTCTGTATGGGGGTGGCAGCAGGACAGAGTTATAACTAAGAGCAGTTTCCTTTTCACGTCAAAAATAATAGGTCTGACCTTTGGTGAGCTTCATGCTGGGCCATGACTAAGATTTGGTTCAAAATATGAAAAGAGCTTGGGGCCCTTTTAACACCTTTCAAAAGTGCAATGTTTTGATACACATGGTCCCTGAAGACACACCCACAACCCATAGACATGTACCACCAGTTCACGCTCCGTGCTGCACATTAAAACATCAAGAGCACAACGAAATAGACGACACTCTAGAAGACTGCTGCAACATCATTTGCTTCTAAAAGGCCCACGTGTCACACACACCCACATGTGTGCACACACCTCCGCCCTCTGATTGACAGGTCCTGTGTAACGTGGACGAGCTGTTCGAGAGAGACGAGCTGTCTGCGGCTCCTGATCCCGGCTGGCCCGACTGCTTCAACTCAGGCGTGTTTGTCTTCAGACCGTCCCTCCGCACCCACAGCGGCCTGCTGGAGCACGCGCTGCAGCACGGCAGCTTTGATGGTAACCAGGGCAATGATGTCAGGCGGAGAGCCGGGTGTGCTCTGAATACTGACTATAGGGGTCTGCTGTTCCCAGTGCTCCGCTTTAAGGAGCTTCACAAGGGAAACATTGGACTGCGGGTGCATACCCGCTCTAGATTCACATCAATATCTACACGCTCACGTTGCAGTTATAATTTGTGTCTATTGCTGTCAGGGGGGGACCAGGGCCTGCTGAACTCCTTCTTCAGCAGCTGGCCGGCCGAGGACATCAGCAAACACCTCCCGTTTGTCTACAACCTCAGCGGCAGCTCCTTTTACAGCTACCTCCCCGCCTTCCGACAGTGAGTGTGGGCCGTAAGTCGGCTGACGTAGACATAAAATGCACATCTCTGTGTAACATTTGCGCAAACAGCTGTGATATTGCTCTACAATATGCACAGACTTTCCATTTGCTAGCGATTCTAGCGTTGTTCTATTGAATCTAAATAGGTTGTGTCTTCCTTGGTCAGCGCCATCCCCTTCCCACTCAGCTGTCCACATTGCTAAACCGTAGCACATGCAGGAGTCACAGCTTTGTTCCTGCAGGTTCGGCCACAACGCGAAGGTGGTCCATTTCATCGGAGCAGTGAAACCCTGGAGCTCCATCAGGGACGAGAGCAGCTCCCACAGCATGGAGCAGTTTGTGTCTCTGTGGTGGAAGGAATACCTCGGCTACACAACATCATCTGGAGCAGGGAAACAACAAGAGGTACGGACATCCTGGAACCATGGTGACCTGGTAGTATATTGCAGACTGGGATCTAACAAAAGCCATGAGCACATGTTGAGCTCTTCACTCCAACATGAAGAACATGTGTGGACCCCATGTGAGAGCATGTGAGAGTATCTGTCACTCAGATACGTCAAAATATCCTCTGTGAAAATGTAATATACATGGGCAAGGTGGTTGTGTTGTCATCCTGGGATCGACATATGAAACGGACAAGAGTTCTTGTTAATTAGTCTATGTTATGGAAGACATAGTTTAATTAATCTGTTATTGGAACCCGTTACCCGTTATAACCCATCATGGTTGCTTCTAAATGCATTTCACATGTTTCTTCAAACTAAAAGAAACGGGTTCACTAGAAATGTATAGAGCATTAATCTGTTTGAAGTATATCAAACCTCCATCATCCTTATATGCTTCCACACTCTGAGCTGCTCTTGCATGGCGCACAGCGTGCGCTGATGGGTGACGGGCGTGTGGTGCCTGCAGTGTTCCCTCACAGATAACACACCAGTGGAGGAGGAGGGGCCCGGATGCGGGGCGGAGGAGGCGGAGGAGGCGGAGGGCGGCGCTTGTACCTCAAACGTTGACACGGATCCAGTATGTAAAGCTTCTATCCCGGACCAGCCTCATATCTATATTGGTCAGAATGTAAGAGCCAGCGTGTTAAATATACGGATACATACAAAGAGAGAAATACACATACAGCTTTGCTTTTGTTCTTAAGGTATGTCTATCTGCACACAGGACAGATAGACATACAGGTAAACCCACACCGAGTCAAGATTCATTCTTAATTCATCTGTTTTGGGAATTAACCTGGTCATGTTTGCTTGTAGATGCCTTTCACATGTTTATTCCGACTAAAACATTCTAAGGGTTCACTAGAAATAAAAGAGCATTAATCTGTTTGAAGTATATCAAATCACCATCACCCTTATAGGAAATACCACCATCATAAACATACAACAGGTGTGATGCACTCATAAAGAGATCCTCACGTGACTGCTAAACTGTAACTGAGGGTTCCTTTGTAATGGCTGTGATCACTGATTGGTTGTTGCTCCGACACTCAACATCCTCCCTTCTACAGGTCCAAGAGCGAGGAGGCGAAGGTAACGCGCCGCTTAGAGACACCCTCACCGGTCCCAGTTCACTGCCTGTACATTCGCCGCCCCCCGCTGAGAGTCTTCGCCCCCCGACTGAACCAGAGACAGTAAGCTGGGACACCAACACACCTTACCTGGTGTCACAGTTAGCGTTAGTGGTCAAGGTCAGGGCTCCTTGGATGTGAGAGTGTTTGTGTAGATGGGAGTGCAGTACCTCAGTGTAATGGGAGCATTCTCCCACTATAGAGGAGGCCTCAGGGTCTGAAACACCTTAATACACATTGTTATTTAAATAAATAAAAGGAGGCTTCTAAAACCACATCTCAAAAATTACAATCCTTAAAGGTGCTAAACTCTGGCCTCCACACGGTTCTCCACATGGCAAAGAATGACCCCAAATAGTGACGCCTTGAGAAGCTAAAGTGACAGAAAACAAGGCTGAGAGAATATTGACCTACACAATCAGGACACAAACAAATAACAATGCACCTTTCACTTGATGTCCAAAGGAAAGGTTCTAGGATGTGTAGGAAGGTTACTGTGCAACATATTTATTGCTTTTTGTGCCGCCCCAAATCAAAATAACTAGTCCTGCTTTAAAGGCCGTGCATGTATAGTAGACAGATGTCTTCGCACGGCTGTGTTTACATATATGAACATTTGACTGGATTTGATTAGAACAGTTAGGACCCTTTGGAAAGTATTGTTGTTTTCAAATCCACACCCACAATGCATGATATGTGGACCATCATATCACTTTTTTGTTCTCGTTGAGACAAGAGATATGTCTGGGAAATGTTGGAAAAAATGAAAGCAGGGGGAGTCTGCAACCTTCTTCATGAGAAAATATATCCTTTACAACAACTTCATTAGAAGTCTGCATGTTCTGTGAGGAGTCAATAGAGATGCAGATCAATCCCTTCATTAGCAGAATGGATGACCTTATTAGCACAGTGTGTTCATAATATCTCATGTTGATTATTACGGTAGCTTATTAGGCGGCTCAAGTGCCTCTTGTTAGTTCCTGTTAATGCACAAGCGTTTCTGCTTGACTGCATTTGACTCGGGCAGAAAAACACCGGCACACAGAGCTTATTATCTGCCAAAGGCCTCTGAGCTCCTAGTTTGTTTAATTCCTTTCAACGTGATGCATTGTGCTCAAACAAGCCTGTGAGATTAGCCTGAGCAGACATGCGGCTTCCTGTGGGACAACAGCCGTGAACATCCATCCACAGCCGCTGCTTCCACACTCTGAGCTGCTCTTGCATGGCGCACAGTGTGCGCTGATGGGTGACGGGCGTGTGGTGCCTGCAGTGTTCCCTCACAGATAACACGCCAGTGGAGGAGGAGGGGCCCGGATGCGGGGCGGAGGAGGCGGAGGGGGCAGAGGGGGCATAGGGCGGCGCTTGCACCTCAAACGTTGACACGGATCCAGTATGTAAAGCTTCTATCCTGGACCAGCCTAATCCCTGTATTGGTCAAAATGTAAGAGCCAGCGGGTTAAATATCTATGTCCTGCTTATTTAAGTCATTAATATAGTTGTTTTTTTAAATGTATATCAATGATATAATCAAAACGCCTCTCTTCTTAATTCCTAAGCATTGAACTGATTATTTACATGAATAAAACATGAATTGATTACAATGTATCTGCTGAGCACAAAGGAGAGATGCTATTGAATCTAATTTAAGACAGTTAGCTGAAGTGAAGATGACCAGGAATGCATAACATCATTGCGCCCCTCCTGATTTCATAAGCTCATTTCCATTCTGCTATTGCTTGGAGATGACAAATGTCAGCCTGAGCAGAGAGTCTGCAGTTTCTTGTAATGAACTGATTTGTTATCCTGCTACTTGATCACGGCAGAAGGCTGCAGGGACGGAAAAAGTTAAAGAGACGGACGAAGCGGCAAAGACAGAGACGGAAGCCGAGCGGCTCGAGCACCGCAGGCTGTGGGAGGCCGGCCAGGCCGACTACCTGGGCAGGGACGCCTTCAAGAACATCCAGAAGATGCTGGACCGCTTTCTGGAGTAACGCGCAGGACCACCTCCGTAACCCAAACTCACTTGTGTCCTGTAGGATCTGAACCATATGAGATTTACAAGCAAACATGAATATTCTATTTTTTTACAGTGGTAGTGTCGTGGCGCTGAGAGCGATGCAATGCCAGCACTCTTCACTGGGATCGTTTTATTTTCATACAAAGCTTTAGATTTAGATGATCTGTTAAAGTATTGTAGGCAGGCTGAAAGTAAAGATGTTAACAATAACGTTAAAATACCCGTATAAGAATAAGGAAAAAATGTTGAGAATCAATCAATCAATCTAGCTTCTGCAAATAATTCTCAACATCTCAACTTCATTCTCGCAATGTAAAATGAAACAAATGCTTTCAGTTTGTTCCCCCCATGTATGGCCATCAAACTCCTGCGTACAAACAAGTGTGATGCATCAGAACCAACACAAGGTCTCTTTAACTCTTTCATTGGGACTGATGCAAGCACCGAATGTCAAACTCCGACTTCTCGTTCTTACAAACATATTCGAACTGTGTAATATGATTTTGCTCTGCAGTGGTACACATTTTACAATGACAGATGAAGATGTTGAAGCATTCTGTCACGCTTTATTTCACAGGGCCCCAATTTCCTAAGCATTCCCTGGAATGCCATTTTGTAATAGTAGAGACAGTGCTCAACTGGTTTGCTTCCAATCCTTAAATTTAACAGTGAACACCTTCCAACGACGTGCTCACAAAACGTCTTTTCACCATTCCCATTTTTCATATAATTCAAATGAAAGAAGCTTCCAGGAAAATGATGGGGGTCATATGTAAAGCGTGATCCTTTTTGATGTTCTACGTGACAAAAGCAAAAGATAGATTCAACATTTCCAAATTGCAAATGTTCTTCTCTGTGAGAATACATATCCTGGTTTGCCATAAAGCATAAATCATATTTTTGTGTAAAGTAAATACCTTTCTCTTCATGCCGTTTGAGTTCACATAGTAAAAACACACACATGAATACATACAGACCGTGTTCATTCTTCCACCAGGGAGCACTGTGGCTCTTCTATCAGAACTCTCCATCACGGCAGCCCATCAGAGAAGCAGGGACGCGCCATTAATACATGTCTGACTACAGTCAGCAGTATGCTGTGTGTTCCTTATCCGTTGGGCACATGGTTTAATGTCATTTTCTTCCAGGCATTTCTCTCATAGTGGAGGAAGATGGTGTGCTGAATACAAAGCACATGGCGGGAGGTGAGCTCGGGCCCGGCCCGGGCTGCTGGTATAAAAGGCCTCATGATGATTGCTCTGAAAGGCAACATGGCACATCGCTGCTCTCGGACGAGTGGGCCCCGCTTGACTTTGATTCATCAAGATTAAAGTGCCAACAGCGATCCTGGGACAGGCTGCTGGTTTCTCTCAACCGCCTCGTTCATCAAGCTCTAAGAAGGCAAAAGGAATCAGATGGAGCATCCGTTTTAGAATAATTCTGATAGAGTAGCTTTGAAACCAGGTTGCAGCTGCAGCAAACAGGAAGTATGGCATTAATGTAGCAGCGGAGTTGTGGAGTTGCAGCATGTGCCAGCTCGGCTGTTGCCATGTTGAGAGCAGCAAAAGAGGCAACAAAAATGCTCCCAATATTCAATACCGAACCGAAACCAAAGAGTAGCTGCGTTTTTATGGTAAAGCTCCCAGACTGTGCAGGTTTTTATCAAAGTGGCAACAGCTGAGTCGGCTGCTGAGCTCTCCTTTCAGAGGAAAGTGTGTAAATCAGTGAAATCAGCTGCTGTAATGACTCAGAGAGTGTACATCTGAATGTGTGAGACTCCGCATAAATATGAGCTGTCAGCAGGGAGAAGTCATTCATGTCGGCCTCCCGCTGGTAATTACAAGAGGAGGTTTGACAAAGTGTGTCAACACATGTGGCAAACATTGGTATAAATTAATAACCGATGTGGCTGTCCAAGATAATAAAAGACTAAATTATAATGACAGTTATACCGTTGAGAGAGGTTAGAATTGTCACAGCAGATTCTGCTCAATGGTTGAACAAATAAAAATAAACCAATAAAGAAATAGATCATGGAGGTTGGTTACACCACCTGGTCGATATGTCCAACAGGGGCTCGTTTGGTTTAAGGTGGGCAAACATTGTAATTTCTAAATTCAATTCAACCACAAGACAAATATTGTATATTACTGAATGAATTGTAGAGTAGTCAAATTTAAAAAGTGAGTGTTTTGCAGGAATTGGCAGTCCTTCTAGGTCCACGGCAGCCACTTCTTATTTCAATTCCATTAGCTGCTTCCAGGGAGTGGTCCAACCCAATCAGAGACTGAGGTGTCTTCCTATATATAGAGCATTTTTTTAAATCCAAAACGATGTACAGTACTTTTAAAACTCTCAATAGCCTCTATTGAGAGGCCTTTTTGTAAAATAAAAACCTCTCAGACCATTGAAATGACACAAACAAATATTTGTGGCATAAGATTTACAAGCAGTAAAATAATACTCCCCCTGACCCGTAAACTCTTGGTTTGTAAAACTGGTGAAGTGACCCTTTAACAATCTCCTCTTGACTCTCGCAGCATTTTGTCCCTGAAGGAGAATCTTCCACTACTTTGAAAACCCAACTACACCGACTCTTCACAGGCTCATCCTTCATCAGCCTGCTTGAGGGGGGGGGCTGGATTTACTATCTTCTGCTCTCATGCTCTTTTGCACTGCAAAGCGTATGATGTACAGTACTAAGAGTTACCAATGCTGGAGGAGCAGTAAAGGATGGCACATTAAAGGATTTCTGAATTGCACCGGGAGTCAATAAGCCATGAAAAATAATACTGTGCAGCCCTGAGTCTATTCTGTCAAGAAGAAAGACGTCCTCTTGCTACGCCTGCTGGTGAGCTGTCCTCCATTATGGAGCAACTATCTTCTAAGCTAGATGAATATCTTACGATACCCCAAGTGCAGTTTAAAAACAGTGGTGTTTGGCCTATAGAGGGCAATGCGGCGTCACCCCCGAAAAAGAAAAGAGAAGACCCTAAAGACATTTTCATGAAAGATGTATGGGGTTGCTCATTATTTGCAAATTGATGAAGTCCATTTTACATAGACTTTTTGTGAATATTCAGTTAAACTCCACTGAATATTTTGTTTAAATACAGTATAGAAATTGTTAGATATCGGCTTGTTATAATGTAAAAACTAGAATACTAGATGAAAGTAATTTGAACATTTCCTTCTAACTCAAATAAGAGTTGAAATAATTTATTAGACTGAGTAAACAGAAAGCATGATCATGAGTTATACGTCTTTTAAACGTTGCTAAGTTGACTAAACATGTACTATACAGTCATGTGAACCTACAGGGAGAAATCCATAGCTAAATTAAACAAAAAAGTATGAGTTGTACCAAATTGTAAATGCAATCTGACTCTGAAAGTGTAAGGCAGCAATTGAACTTGTGTTTTTAAGCAACCTCCTTGATTTTTTTCTTACTGTGACACAATCTCTTTTGAAACTTTGTTCTTCCAGCTTAAAGCAAACAAATGCTTTCACATCATTAACCATGTGGTATTATGCATTTCTGCAAGCATGCTATTAGGCTGATATGAAACATATTTTTGTTTCAGGAATTGGGACATTCATTGTTCTGTATCCGTGGTTTGGAAACAATGCTATTGATGTGGTTGGTTAAGCTGATATTTGATCATAAACCAAAATATTGATCTGACGATGGCATCGGATAAAAGGTTACTGCATTTCACCCTGATGGGAACAAGACGTTCATACACAAGGTCGGTCAGCTTCTTCCTCTGGGGACCACCGACGTCTGTTGGAAATGTCTGATGCGATTTTTGAACTTGACCCAAATAAAATCAGTTTGATGAATAACTCCTTCAGCCTCCCTGACGTAACCCTCAATGACACCGTATGAGGAATCTCACCGCACTCACCCAGTCTATTTGCTTTGACTGTGTGGGACTGACACCAGTATGTGCAGTCAAGAAAAACCTTATTGGGCCACATCGATGCAAATCCCCAGGAGAATAAATAAGAAGCTTTGCTTGGTGAAATGAGCAGGAACTGTTAGGTCTACTAGATTTGTGAGGTTCTGTCCCCTTTCTGTGTTTTCCAGTCTCCTACCTCTTTTAGCGGGTTTGGATGAACAAACAGTACTGATAATGTTCCCATCTGGAACTCCTTAGTTTCTTGATGAGTACACAGCTTTATGCTTGATGGAGTGCTTGTGATCTGCTGATGATTGTGAGTCTGTGTGTGTGTGTGTGTGTGTGAGGGAGAGAGGATGGAGGAAACCAAAGGGGTGTGAGGAATGTGTGTGTGTGTGTGTGCAGGTGTAGGCTAGACGTCTATGCTAGTCAGTCCCAGCTGTTATTAAAGCCATGCGGTGTTTACCTTGACGTACACCGTGTGGACCGGAGCGAAATGGGAGATGTCAGAGAACCCTAAGCACCACCATATGTCTCGGGGTTAACAGCTCTGAAGCGCCTCCTCCGCTCATCCCGTGTGGGAGCTGTCGCATGACTGTATGGATCAATGTTTAAAGTTGCTAATTTGATCAGCGGTTCAACCAGCGGTTTCAAATTCTAATAAACCACAATTTCTGTGATCAAGCTAATTGGAGATCGCAAGAGTAATGACAGTGAGCTGTGGAGGAGGCGTCCGGTCCGAGGCCCCCTGGAGGAGAGGAGCCGATGGGTGGGGTTTGTCCTTCAGTGGGAGGCTGCTAGTTGAAACTGAGCCACAAACCGTAGTGCAGTCAGCACTGGATTTAATGGGCAGATGCATCATCTGGAACATTGAAGGTCCATTTCATACCTCATGAATTGATAAGATACATTTTCCAGACAGCTCGTGTAGAAGGATTTGACTGCTGCTATTTCTGTGGGGTGGAATCCTGTAAATTACAGAGTGAATCCTTTCTGTGCCACGCAGAATAAATGACAAATGAATACGCCACATGTTTACATTAGCCTCAGACTTACATGCTAATTCCTAGGGTGGGAGAAGATTCAAAAGGTCCAAAGTTCAGTTCACAGCTGCTGGAACCTCAGAGAATATTTGACAAGATATTTGTCAAACGGCCTAAAACAGAAGAGTTGATATAGAGAACACTCAATATATGGGGTTGGATCTCTAGGGCTCTAATTAAAAATAACTTGATGGGATCTTTCATCCAGGAGGCCGCTGTTAATTCCCCATGTGACATGAGAAAATATGACAAATAAATCATTTTATTTGTCATGTCACTTGTGTCGTTTCAGTGAGAAAACTACCAAAGTTAAATAATCCCAAACAATGTTTTATTCCTAAACCTAACTATTTTCTTTACTGTGAAGACTGAAGCAACACATGTTGTCCTGGACTACAGCCCCTGCTGAATGAGTTTCTATTGGTGGGTATTCCATTAAGAAGCCCATTCAGCCCACTCCATCCAAACTCAACTCGTAGGTTTTTGTATTTAGAGTGAAGGTTTATAATAATTTAATCTATTCTCAGTGAATATATATATATATATATACCTAAAAAACATATTGATTAAAGAGAGAAATATACCTTCATATATTCCCACATTGTATTAACCAAAAAAAAAAAAAGTATGATACTGATTGTAGTACACTAACGGGGGGAGTGTGTGAGTCTGTGTGTGGGATGGGGGCGGGGGACCTTCAGAATGTTAGTCGGTTGAACTTTTAGAAGTTTGGCAGATTTACGGTGCCGACCACAAATTACCATCAAGGCCACTAAATTCTGTGTCACCTCTTTTCAATTTAGCTGCTTATATGCTGACATTGATGCTCCGGTGATTTACTATGAACACAAGCATTCTTGAAGACTGCTCAGCCCTTGTGTCAAAAACAAGCAATAAATCAGACGCGCATACTTAAAGCGCTAAATCGGAGACTGATGAAAATGTCGTTAGGATCACAGCAGCATCTGAGGAAGGGAGGTGTTCAGCTCAGTGCTGTTTCTTCACCAAGGAATCCACTCCATGTTGTCATGCACTGAAGAGAGAAGCCAATGCTGAAAGGACTGCTCTGATGGAGCAGTCCTTTCAACTTCTCTTCAAATCCAGCTTCTCTGCTGCTCAGACATAAAGTGCCTTGATGTGTAGATGATGTTGCAGCTGTAGGACACAAATTCTCCACTGCCACAACGCTCTCCTGCTGTCTTTGATTCATCCGTCAGCTACAGCACCGTGTGATAAGCCAGTCGTTCTCACTGAAGCTTCACTTGCTTTTGTTCTCAGCATAATACGTGCCTTTTTTTCAGCTTTGATCCCTTAAGTAGTGACTTCTTTTTTAAGTTCCTATGATGTAAATTTCCCTAATAGACCATCTGAAGTCCGAGCAGATAAGCACAGCAAGCTAACTGCATTGAGCAGCGTAAAGAGGCATTCAAGTAGCTCAAGGGTCACAAATAGACAGCTTCATATCACACAGACATCCCTGTGGAGAGCTGTGATCTATCTGCTTTAGCTGGGGGACGACGTGCATCACTGCAGCCTAATCAGAGTGGAAAATGTTGACTTCATCGGCAACAAAAAAAAATTAGTGGAGGGAGTACAATGTGGCACTGGTTAACCCTGCCTGGGATGATTAATGGACAAGCTCCAGAGATGGAAAGAGTACTACAATGTGTTTATACTTATAGTGTGTCAATCTGTCCCACTATAACCAGTCAGCTCAGTCTCTTTCTCCGATTGTGACCAGTCAACTCAGTCTCCGTCCCACAGTCAGCTCAGTCTCTCTCTCCCACTGTGACCAGTCCACTCAGTGTCTTTGTAGAATTAGAACCAGTCCACTCAGTCTCTCTGTACCAGTATGTGGAAGTCATTTAAAGTTGCCTTCTTGTAATGAGGGCCAACTTGCTAACGGGGGTGATATATTAGCTCTGTAAAGTCTCTTGTACAACCTTCATACTACCAGGTCGAGTGGAGTGACACTCACTCATTTCTGGTGAATCAGTCGCTACATAAGAGTAATGTAATCCTTTTGAAACATACAGCTGTGGGCCTACATTCACTATGGATTTAGGTTTGATGATTCATTGTTATGTGGATTGAAGTGAATTATGGACACACCATGCTACCCGAGCTAATGTCACTTGTACTTCAGAAAGGACCACAAAAGTGACCACCATCAGGTTTCCCTTTCTTCTATTTAGTCCATGGAGTTATAAATCAGACCCAGCATGCAAAAGTTGGGTTCGTTTGATCCGATGACTTAGCTTGCTGAATGGTGCATTGAAGCGGTGATCAGTTAGGATGCACACAACTTCTTTTCCTGGGAGACTTCTCTCCGAAACTGTGCCGTCCTGCAGCCGCAGACACGCCAGCAACCTCTTTGTTCTGCTGCTAATTTAGCTCCTTTCTTTAGTCCCATTCCCACACCCTCTGTTTTACTCATAAAGGAAGGGACTCGAAACGTAGCAAAGTATACTACTTAAGGCAAAAAGTATTGCATAAAAGTAAAATTGCCAATAGTAAGCGTTACTGAAAATACACAAAACCCAACGTTTTTACAATAAAAAAAAAGAGTAAATGCAATTTATTACTTCCACCATGGAAATTTCTCAAAGTGTGACTCTTTCAGCCAAATCTGCTGAACTAATGGGGGGATTTCCTCTTGGTTCCAGATGTTTTTCTTTCTGGAAGATGAGACTGCAGCTGTATTCTCTTAGGAATTATTGCAAGGGGAGTCTTCAAGAATAATGGTGACCTAGTTCTATCATCCAGCTTGCTAAATCTAGTACTCTCTCAGATTCATAACTGTGCTCTGCTTTCTAAGGACAGCTGAAAAAAAATCACATCCAACTTGAACTTGAATAATTTCATCAAGAAAAATTATATAAAGTCATACACTTCTGTGTGTTTTGTGAAACTTTAATTGTGAATTCATTGGTTTCAAAGTTAATTCCAAAACCGTTATCAGTTATGCATGCAGTGGCAAACATTCTTGAGTCATCATTTTCCAATCTTTTGCTTTCCCTTATTCAGCAATAAAACATTTTTTTTCCTCCGAGCATTGTAGAAAAAGTTTATTAACATTTAGGAAAATAGCTATGCACCACAGTCTATTAGAAACAAATAATTTACAACTTGTGACTTAGAACCTTGATCAGCAATTTCTACAAGTAGATAAAAAAAGGTGCATACTGCTGACAAAAGCAAAAGACAATCAGTTATTGAAATATGTGCAGTTATGGAAACCCAGAAACAACTTGAGATGGACATTTATGAAGAGTATAGGATAATAAACTGATGTTTTTGGAGTGAAAAATATGTAGAAGTCGTATTAGCAACTTTATGCATACCTACAATAAATTCTGTAATGATGTTAAACTATATTTCCATGAAAATTAGTTATACGTTACGCAACTCTCATCTCAATTTTAGAAGAAATTATACTGATCAACGTCAAGGTACTTCTACAGCTGAGGAGAGTCTTTGGTCAGAGAGGATCAATGGATCAGTGTCTTCTCCAGGAAACACAAACAGATGAGCTGTCTAAAATTATAAATTATATTTATTTAATATCATGCAGTGTTTTTCCATTTCATAATAACATAGATTAGTTGTAGTACTACTGTGGACAGAATAGCAGTAGTCTTCACGGTACCACTGGTATCCAAAATAAATGAGAACAACAGCAACTGTCCATGAGCAATGAGCACTGTAAAGATTATGCAATGCAAAAACATCATAGTCTGCTTCCCTACCTGATTGGCATTTATTAATTAAGCAAGCGTTGCTCAAAATGGAAGGCCCTGTATAATTCCCATTTATAGGGATTTTCTAGAAATGTATGTAATGGGTAAGCAGTGGAGCGGCAAAATACTTTTTGCCTCTAAACAGCCCTGCAGCTTTTAATCAATCTCGATATTTCATTGTTGTGACAGCAGTTTTTACAACATTATGATCAATACATTTTTTACCTTGGCAGTTGCTCGGGCATACAGTAGGGCAAAGGACTAATATGAAGTGACATTCTTCAATACACTTGGAGAATGGTGGCTTTAGAGTCTGTGCCTATGGCATTCCGAGCTGTGCATCGATAGACACCGGCATCTCTTTGTGTCGGGTTCTGGATGATGAGGGAACCTTGTGGATGAAGGTACTTGTTCCCAAAAAGGCGGGGCTGCGCACTGACAGCCAGGCGGGTTTTATTTGGGGTTTCCCATGCTACCTCCACCCTCGGGTTCCCAGTTGCTATGCAGTTTAACTGGACAGCAACTCCAAGTTTTGCGTAGGTCACAGCAGGAGGGCCGTTAGTAATTCTAGGTGGGTATGCAATCACAATTACTGATGCAGAAAGCTGAGAGCTGCCGTACTCGTTTGCCGCTCTGCACATATAGGAACCCCTATCATAAACTGATACTTGCTGGATTGCAAGTGTCCCATTAGGTAGTACGGCATATCGTCCAGCTCTCTGTGGCCTGTCGAGGACCACCCCACTGGGTATGGTCCATGTTAGTCTAAGAGGTTCGCTGCTGGTAATGCAATGAAGCAAAAGTCTTTCCCCGTTCACAACGCTTACGGGAGAGTTATATCTGTTGCTGATCTCTGGCTTCCTCCCTGGGGACAAAGTGATCGTACGCTCCACAAGCCCTCGAGAATTTCGTCCAAGACATCGATACATACCAGTTTCAGCAATAGACGGGTTGCTGATGATCAAAGAGCCATCGGGCTTGTGGAAAAACTTAGACAACCGAGCACCACTTTGCAACAGTGTGCCGCTGGGTAGGATCCAAGTCAGATGAGGAAGTGATGAGCCCTCAAAAGAGCAATTCAAAGTCATTATATTCCCCAAAGTCAGTGATAGGCTATCTGACTGTGGACCTCTAATTTGGGGTTTCCCAACAACCTCTTTTACATCCAAGTTGACCACCAGCTTGACCTCTCCTCCCTCATTACGAGCGATACAAGCCAGCTGCCCCGAGTCCGTCCTCTTGGCTGACCGAATCTCCAAGGTACCATTTTGATGAACCTCCATTCTGTTGCTGTGGTATGGTGCAGGTAGGATCACGTTTCCTGGTAGTAGCCACATGATGCGAGGGGTGGGAGTTCCCTTTGCCACACAGTCCAACAGCTTCCGCTGATCCTGGACAGCAGCCACCTTGACGGAATTGACAGTTCCTTTCATGCCGTTGATTATTGGAGATGTTACTAGCACGTCAAGCCTAATAACTTTATGGTCTTGCCCTGCATTGTTCCTGGACACGCAGGTGTAGTTACCGCCATCAAAACGCTGGACCTTTTGAACCACCAAAGTCCCATCATCCAGCACCTGGTATTTGTCTAATGCTGGGGAGATCACTCTATTTGTAGGCGATATCCATGTGATGGTCGGCATTGGTTCCCCTTTGGAATTGCATCTCAGTGTGATGGTCTCACCATAGAAAACTCGGATCAACTTTTTGTCCTTATCCTGGATTTGTGGCGGGGCAGTTGCAGCCTTGACTTTGACTCTAACTTTCATCTCATCCTTGCCAAGTTGGTTCTCGGCGTAGCAGGTGTAATCACCTTCTTCTGGCATGCCGACATGGTTGAAGTACAGTGTTCCGTTGTCAAACACCACATACCTACAGTGCAGAGAGAGAAGGGGTGAAGGGAGATACAGATTTCTACTCTTTGAACACTGTAATTGTGTGGGCGACTGTGGGTGAGTGGGGAGCACGGTTGTCCTGGTTGCATGTCCAATCAGAGGGTTGTGGGTTCGATCCCAGGCCTGGCTAACCCGCATGTCGATGTGTCCTTGGGCAAGACACTTAACCCAACATTGCTCCTGTAGCTGCGACTACAGTGTGTGAATGTTAGTTTCTGATGGGCAGGTGTCACTGTGTATGGTTCTCCTGTCATCAGTGTATGAATGGGTGTGAATGGGTGAATGATGTCATGTAGTGTTAAAGCGCTTTGAGTGGTCGGAAGACTAGAAAAGCGCTATACAAGTACAGTCCATTTACCATGTAATTTCAGTTGTGAGTTGAATGCATTGATGTTATTTAAGTAAAACATTCATGAATTAGAAAGATTGGCACATCACACAATTTCTGTACATTTTTCACATCCAGCCCTTACTGATTAAATACGTATACTAATCAAAAAAAGTATTTCTCAGAAACTGTATATCCACATAAAAGAAAGCTGGTAGTGAAGTATTTTGCATACTTTACCAGAAACGCAGGTTCTGGATTTATTTATAAAGTTTTTTTTTAGATAGTTTACAACAAAGATATGACTTAATACTCATAATATTACTGTGATGTATTTGTGTCCCATCCTTGATCTAAAATAAGTATTTTCTGTATGTTGCATGCATCATGGCCAGACATAATAAATACAGTTGAGTGTTTGCATTGTAGCAACCCAAAAATTGGTTCTTAAAGAGATTTCCTTTGGTGTAAGAAGTGTAAAGAGTCATTCATTTTAAGGTGGTGAGCTGCGACAGTAGCAAAGTCAAGTTTCTTTACATGTCTTAATTGATTATTTGCATGCAGGCCAGTCCTCCCAAAAAGGTTCAGTGAATGGGTCCTCTTTAAATGTGGTTTACAGACTCGCTAAAAGAGGGCTGCCAAAATAACTTTCATATAAGGTGCCACCTGCTAGCAGGACTTACCATTCAGACAACTCAGGCTCAGTTCATGGGATTAAGTGTCGTAACCAAGGATGACCCCTTCACTGATGATTAATGAATCAGGTGAATTAATTAATTAGGTATATTCTAGAATTTAGTTATTCACTAATTATCACAATTCTAAGACCTTAATAAAGTGGCTCATACCTGCGACTGCGTCCTCCGCTGACACTATCTCTTTGTTTGACCGGGTTGACCATGCTGCCGTCTGGCAGTGCCCAGCTGATCTCTGGGTTGGGGAGACCAGATGCCACACAGTCCACCTTTAGATCCCCACCATACACCACCTCCTGATTAGATCTCTGCTGCTTCTGCTCGATCTTCGCCGGTCTGGTCAGCACGTTGACCCGCAGCAGAACATAGTCATCTCCCATCTTGTTACGCGCCACACACAGGTAGTCACCACTGTCCTGGTCGGTCACAGAATGAACGGTAATCGTGCCATTGGGGAACACTTTTATCCTGGGGTCAAAACTGCAAAGATAATGAAAACAATAGCATTCAGATGCCATTAAATGTAGAGGTTTGTTTAAACATTTAATCTCAGAGGACAATCATTCATTTGCATGTACATTTGTTACCTGTACTGAGCATCCACCAGCTTCTTGTATGGTGTCCTCCAGATGATTCGGGGCTCCGGTCCTCCTGCTGCCACGCAGTCGAGCAGCAGCCTCCCCCCGTATATCACATCTGTTCTCTGGGGAGACGACAAGGTGATACTGGCCTTGGCATAGTTGGGATTTGTCCTTGTGGTTAAGATTACTGTTCTTGTGCTGGATGCCACTGCATTAGTGACTGAACACGTATATCTCCCAGCATTTCCCAGGCCCAATCTCTGTATGAGCAGGGTCCCATTGGGATAGACTAATAGGTTGCGCCCACTAACAAACTGAGAAGCAGTGAGATGAGCGCCATCTGGTGTGATCCATTTGATGACTGGCTGAGGGGCCCCTGTGGCAGTACAGTGGATGTAAGCGGAGCTGCCCTCTGGGAGGGTGGTGTTCTCATACTGGGCCTGCTGAATCACAGGCGGCAACACTGACACGTAAAGGCGCACTGAGACCGAGTCGGCCCCAGCTGCGCTGCTGCCAATGCACTTATAAATCCCTCCGTCTGCGTTAGTGACCCGGCTGATCTGGAGTGTTCCGTTACTAAAAACGACCACATGCTGCTGAGGGGTCACTCCAAGTGGGGGAGCAGCTATGTGGACATGGTTAGGCAGCACCCATGTGATTTGAGGCGGAGGGTGTCCTTCCACTTTACACTCCAACTTGACTTTGTCACCAAGGTGCACAGGGACGTCTTTGTGCCGAGGCTGGAGGACCCGCGGATGACGAGAAAAAACCACAAGGGTGACCACCATGTTGTCTGTGCCGTACTGGTTCTGGACAGTACAAAGGTACTGGCCCCCGTCCAAGGGCTGTGTGTTTCTGATGATTAATGAACCATTTGGATGTACCTCAAACCTCTGGACTCTGGTGTTCTGAGCAATACTTGCCCCTGCATTGATAGAAGGATTGCAAAAATGACACAGTTATCTCAGACATATTAAGAGTTTCAAGTGAAGAAATATTCAATGTAGAAAAAAATGTATATACAGGCACATACAAGTCATTAGCCTAAACTGTGCTTTAGATGTAATGGCTTTAGTATTTGCAGGGTGCGCAAAAAGACCATTTGTGTGTTATGAACTGTGTTCATTTTAAGTGGTAGAAAGACTTTGATCATTTGTAGGAAAAAAATCAAAATATCCCTGTAGAAAAGACTGAACATAATTTGGGATTTTCATTATTAAAGCAATATTAACATTGTGGTAATATACCCCTTTTTTTACTTTTTACCTTTAAAAAACATATGAGAACTTGTTATATTTTCTTTGATCTATAGTAAGCATGATGGCAACCTCTGGCCAAAATCGAAAACGGCATTCCCTCAAATGGCCCCATAAAGCCGCCTCGAAAAGCACGTTGATCCCAAAACATTTCTGCATAAAGTAGGTCAGCTTCCTGCTTATTAGTCCTTATTGAAAACTTAAGCTCTTACAAACTCTTACACTAATTTAATCTTTCTTTTCCATCTCCCCTACTGTAGAAGTAAAGAAGTAACTGACAAGCCTGACCGTGTGTATATTGAGTCGTACTTACCAGTGGCCACTTTGGTCCATGACAGAAAGGGCATCGGCTCCCCCTCGGCCCTGCAGGGAAGCTGAGCATCTGCTTCAGCGTCCACTGTGAAAGTCCGGGGATTGCTCTCAGTTATTCTTGGTTTGCCTCTCGGAATAGATCCTGTTCCAGGTAGCTGTTGCTCTTTGGATACATCCTGAATGGTTGTTGGAAGTCCGTCTATGAGGGGATCTGTTGTTGGGGCAAGGGTCCGGTTTAGGCCCGGTGAAGTTGGATGTGAACTCGTGAAAAGAACCAGCTGGTGGTCAGTTGACTGAGTTGCAGGACCAAAGTCTGATGTTCTCCTGTCCTCCGATGGGATGATGGGTTGGGTTTGTTGTTCTTGGCCGTGGTTATCTGGTGTGATGTTGACCGTGGGAGGCTCCTGAGTGGTGGCCCTAAATGGAGGCCCTCTTTTGGTTTCTGTGGAAGAAGTTTTGGGCAGTGTGACATCAATTGCCGCTCGAGATGGGATCACAGCATCAAGCCTTGATGATGTAGTAGCGACAGTTGTTGTTATGACGATACTTGTAAAACTAGCATCAGAGTTATTTCCTGTGCTCTCAGCATTGTTAAGATGATCTACTGCTGACTTACTGCTAGTGGCTTTCATTGTACTCATATTATAATGAGCTCTTTTGGGTTGAGAAGGTTTCTTTGTTGTAATCTCTTCTGTGTCCGTTTCACCTTCAAGGGGCACGCTCAGTGTCGTAATCAAACCACTTGGAGTGTTTCCTGAGGTTGTCTTGATTTCATGCTCCATCAATGAAGCAGCTGGGGAAGTCAGCAGGGAAACATTAATGTCAGTCTCTTTCAAAAGCATTCTTTCACCTTTTTCCGTGGGCTTGTATTGATAGTCTGATTCATTCTGCCCAACATCTGTTAGCACTTGTGTTAGAGTGTGAAAATCCCCAAAGTGTGGCACAGGTCCAAGGTGTCCTGTATTGCTAGCATGTTGTGTCTCCTCTGAGGGTTTAACAGGTGGAAGAGGGCTGCCTGTGAACCTCTGCTGAGTGTCTGCTGTGGACATATTCAAGAGCTCTGGAGGAGAGGCCCTTTCTGAGATTCTCAGGGCTGTTTGAGAACTTGTCTGTGCGTGACCCAGTTCTGGAGAGGCGGTTGGAAACGATGGTGCCGCTGATGTGCTTTTTAATAGTGGTTTGGCACGGGGCTGATGGCTGTCATTTGTTTCAGAGGGAGAAGCTGGTAGGGGGGAGAGTTTTACTGCTGCCTGGTTGTCATGCCCTAAGACTGTGCTTTCTTCATGACTCAGTGTGCCTGATGACGCTGCTTGGCTGCCACTGAATGGAAGAGTGCTATTGAAATTGGCTGTTTTAACTTCTAAAGGGTCTATTTTTAGCTGTGTGGAGCCAGTGGTCCTGACTGTTTCTAGGGCAGGGTTTGTAGGTGTGGTGATAAAAAAACGGGTCGGTTCAATCAGCTTTTGTTTCCTTCTGTTGGGCTTTCTCCGACGACCCCCATTCCTTCTACTGGAGCTAGGCTTTCCTATGCGTGGGGGAAATTGTCCTTCAGACCCTCTCCTTCTTGTATGGGTCGGTGCCAGAGTAGTTGTTGGAGTTACTTGTGTGAGCATTGCTTGAGATTGCAAATCATCAAATGTTCGCTCCTTTGGAGGAGAATGTGACTGCGTTATTGTGGCAGCCACAGTCAAATATTTTCCATTTTCCTCTTGGCTTGTTTCTGATTCATTTGGGTTGACTGAAGGGATAACTTCACTTCCCCTTGCAAAGAGTTCTCCATCATTAACAGAGCTGGCATCAACATTCGGTCGGCCCATATTCTCACTCCTCTCCAATCCCTTGGATGCATCAGCTGTTTTGACTCCAACAACATCTGTAGTTGTGCTTTGGGTTTCTTTTAGAGAAAATGTAGTGCTGCTGCTTGCAATGTTTGTGTTGGCCTGCCAGAAAGTGACATTGTGTAGGGAAACAGATGTGGTCTGCTGTGGGAGGAAAAATACACTGTTTGAAGTTGTGTGTTGGGCTGTATGCTGTACACTGTATGTAGTCTGTGCTGTGTGTGGCTCAACTGCATCCTGTGTGCTGTGTGTGTACTGACTGTTTGATATCATATCCCGTGTGGTGTAGCTGTTAGATGCCACGTATTTGGTTTGATCTTCTGTATTATGTTCATTCGTTTTCCTGCTTGGATATTGTGTTGGACTGAGTGGTGTAGTAAAGTAATCCTGGCCCCGCACAGTTGTGCTCTCTGAAGAGGTCTCAATAGTAACATTTGACTGTGTTGACTTCTCTGTCTGTCTCCCCTCTGTTGTATGCTGAACTGGGAGGGCTGTCACGGTATTCTGAACACTCCGATCCCTAATCTTAGCCAAAATATCAGCCCATTTCTCTGGATCAATTTTACTTTTTGACAAATTAGTCTTCCTTCTGCCCTCACCCACGTTCTTCCTGTCTTTAACTTGTGATTCTGTTGGTTTTCGAAGCACCGGTGGCCTATGCCACATTTTCCTCGATGGATGGACGCCCCTTCTGCCAGGGGCCAAACCTACTGGCATTCTCTTACTTAAAGGATCTAAGCGGCTCATTGGACCCCCCACTTGAGTAATCTCAATGTCCCCTGATGCATCCTCTGAATCCTCTGTGGGAACTTTAATCTGAGTGTTCACACCCGACACTGACTGGGGTCTTATTGGAAACCTCCTAAATGGCCTTATGAGCCCTTTGCGGCGAACAAAAATGATCTTAGTAGCCAGTGTATCCACACCGTGTTGATTAATGGCGATGCATTTATAATGACCACTGTCCAATAGCTGGGTTTGTGAGATATGTAGAGTGCCATTGGAATAGACCACAGCTCTTGAGGAGTTAGCCTGGAAACTAACTATGTTGCTGTTTGGTAGAATCCAATTAATTTCAGCATCAGGAGAACCCGATGCCGTGCAAGGTACAGAAATGGGATCACCTGCAAAGCCCTCGATAGGAGTAACTAAGGCGTCTTGCCCTGGGGGAGGGCTAGAGGATTCCTGCACTGTCAGATGGAATGGCATGACAGCAAGGTCTCCATGAACCCTGGCAATACAGTAGTAAATTCCAGTGTCTGCATGGATGACGGCTTTAATGAGCAGCCTGCCATCACTGGACAGAGTCACCCTGTTGTCTGGAGTGCTCGATGATGCCTCCACCTTCGAGCCATCTGGCAGAATCCAGTGGAGGACTGGTTGGCCAGAACTGTGCACGTTGCAGTACATTTGACTCGGATTTCCCAGGATAGCGCTGAACACTTTGCTAGTCGTGTTTATTGACTCAATCATGACCCATGTCCTCTTCTGTCGCCGCACAAGCTCTGTCTCAAGCGTCTCTGAGAAGTCCGTGCACAGGATCAATTTGACCATCTTGGCTGATGACTCAAGTCGGTTTAGCTGAAGGTTTGCAGATGTCTGCATCAGCCAGGCCGGCTGGGCCATCATATTTACTTTAACACCGGTGTAGTACTGGGCATCCTTCTCATAGTCCTGTCTGTAAACATGGATTGGATGAGGCTCATTTCTGACTATAATCCCCCGTTGTAGGTGGGCTGGCACACTACTGTAGTATGCAATAAGCCTCCACAGTTGCTCATATCTATCTCTATCAACAGGGCACTCAAGATCCACAGTTACAGTTATGTTGGATGCCACCTGGAGCTGGTTGAACTTCTCCCAGTTGATCTTGGTAAGAACTTTTGGCTCACCAATACCACACTCCAGATCCACCTCATTCCCATGTTCGTCTGACAGGCCCAGGGAGATGTTCCCAAACGGTTCCCTGAAGTCCTCCATAGTCATGACCTCACTCTCTACGTCCTCGGGTGGCGAGGTCCTATGAGGAGAACGGATGACGGGGCCGCTACAGACCAGTTTCTCCAATGGCTGAAGCTCTTTCCTCTGAAGGTGCCTGGGGGAGGAGCACATAGGACACAGCTGGCCACCTGAAAGGGTCTTGTCCTTTTTACATTTCAAGACACCTGGAAACGAAAAAGCACGAAGCTGTCAAATAAGACTTTAAAGTATTCTCAGATTAACATCTTTGAAGGTTTCAAACTATAAAAGATGGAGACATGTATCATGTATCAAGTCACTAGTTTTACAAGGTTCAACAATAAAGATCGAAGACTAACGAAAAGTAGTCTGTCACTTTTTGTCCAATCAGGCAAGTGATCAAAGAGAATGAACTGCTTTTATTCCAGACCTGATTATTGAAATAGTTTAGGAGGCAGCTTTCTGAAATATTGTGTTGAACGTTGAACTTGAAATGAACAGTCTGACCTGGGGATGTTTTATCCCAGTCATGGAGCCACCTCATGTTGCAGTCACATATCCACGGGTTCCCATGGAGGTACAAGTTCTCTAGCTGTTGCATGGTTTCCACTAGCGCAGAGGGCAACGATGTCAGCCTGTTGTCCGACAGATAGAGGTGCCTCAGAGTGGAGAAGTGAAAGTGGCCCATAAGGGTGAAGGTGGTGAAGGTGGCTGGGTGCAGCTGCTGGAGCTGGTTGCCTTCCAGCTGTAGCAGCCGCAGGGAGGTGAGGCCCTGGAAGGCGTCTGGGTGGATGAACTCCAATCGGTTGTGGTCCAGGTGCAACCTGGCCAAGGCCCAGAGTCCCTGAAGGGTGTTTCTGTTGATCTCCTTCAATTTGTTGTAGCTCATCTTCAACATCTAAACCAAGGAGCAACAAGGAGAAAGGAGATTAGCATGAGTATTGAAAACATATATAAATATATTTATATAATTAATTAATTAATTGAGTATCCCTTTTGCAGGCAGGTTGTGCTGAATAGATGAGAGACCTTCAACCAGACAGTTGACTTAATGTGATGATGCAGACATATTATTATATGAACTTAAAATAGCAACGCTAAAGTCAGATTTTCATTTGCAAACTGAGTAAAAGTTGTTGATTATTTTTATATCATGGGTTACACAATTGCAAAGTTGTAATGAATCGACTTTTTATTCATATTGCAATTGAAAAATATTTTGAGACATTTATCATTCTTAGAATCTTAAGTCCAGACTTTAGGTTTCATTTTGGCATTAATATAATAAAATAAAAAAGGCAGTAGTAACATAGGAATAATAGAATCTCAGGGAAACGAAATAATACAGCTGCTTTTCTTAAACCATTTCAAATAGAGTCTTACCAAGCAGTCCGGTTTGGCTCATTATTCATAGAATGGCTATAATACCCTTTTCATCATTGGCTGGGTCTGTATGGGGACAACAGAACCACTACACTGTTGGTATGACCTCGGTCGAGGTTCAATGTGACCCTGATACAAGGAGGAGGAGTTATCAGGTGTACACCACTACGCTGTACCACACTGTACCCTACTGCCCCACTACGAACTACTATGTGCACTACATCGTACACTACGTCATACACTGCTACGGAAAGGAAATCCGACTTAGAAAAAAGGACCTGGTACCATGCACTGGAAACATGGCTATGAAGTCATGATCCAGGTCTTTTGGAGTTTAGGAACACAGGAGCAAATTTGTTAGAGCAAAAAATATATTGATAATAATGACTTTAGTTCATTTATTCAATCTTCTTATTAGGTTCTCAGTCGGCCTACCTGCAATGAAGTAAGATCCTTGAACACTCCCTTGGGGAGACTGTGGATGTCGTTCCCATGCACCATCAGAAGCTCCAGCTTCCTCAGACCAGCCAGCGACTTGTCAGTAATCTTATTGATGCTGTTGAACCTGAAAAAGCAACACAGAGCAGGAGGTAAAATCAACATGCAACCCATTCATGAGAAACAACACATGAGCTTGGATACTGACAGGCCCTGACATTAAAGCCCCTTATTATTGTTCATTAGGGTGTAGTCCAAACGGTGCAGCTCACTGAAAGGCATGCCAAGTGGAGGCTGAGGATGCAGAAATGACTGACCCCAGGTTCATGCGCTCCACGTCTCTGGACACAGCAGCTGGGATGGTGGTGAGGGAGCGGAAGGTGCAGTGGAGCTCAGAGGGCTGGGGGCAGGAGCAGGGTCGGGGGCAGGGGACCGAGGCAACAGGGGGCAAGATCATCAGCACCAGCACAGTGTGGAGGACGCAGACGGCGGGGGGCTTCATCTTTATTCAAGGGAGGAGCAGCTACCCGAGGAATTACTGCAGTAAAAATCATTAGGTTATTAACAAACGACTCATGCTATTTTTAAAATCTTATTTATTGCATTATTAGCAATATAATTAGTATTAGTAATTCATTATTGGGTTTTAGTCGCGTTATTATTATTTTACCGTTTTCAGAGAAAAAAGAAAAAGGAAATATAAAATACAAAAACTGCTTCAAATTCACGATTCTTGTTGAAGTAAAAGTGAAACCGGGATTAAATAATTCGGGAGGATAATCCGTCGGACGGTTAATCGAACTTTCTGGCGCTCTAATCGGAGTTCGGCTCTACTTTCTTTGGGGGACCGTCCGCCTCCATCACCGCACGATTGGACCAACACACTGCTGGCCCGCAGATTTCAGCCAAAGTACTCCTTAAATATTGAATAACTTCAGCTCAAATAATAATAAGGAAATACGAATGCATTTTACCTCAAAATCTTGATAGCCTCTCTCCAGGGAGCTCCTCATATTCCATTTCAACGTGTCGGAAGTCCAGAAACCGCACAGTCGAATTAAAGTTAAACCCAAACGGAAAGCTGCAAGAGGCAGCAGATAAAGTGTGTGTTGCAAACGTTGGAAGTCTGCAAAGAGAAGCCGCTGAACACAGACTTTCATATAAAATCCTTGGGTGGGGGAGCAGGGGGTGTTTTTGTCCTGCTCCTGCTCTGTGGGACCGCAGTAAGGAATGAAGTGGAGGAGCGTGTCCCGCGCGCACGGGGGAGACGCAACAGGAGGAGCCACGCGTTTTTTCGGGAGGACAGAAGAAGAGGTTGGAGACAGTCTCAGCTAGATGATACTGTCACACAGCCACACACACACTCTCATGCTGCTGAGTGAGAATGACCGGTTAGCAGGGCTGTGACATGGAGTCATGTTGAAGCAATGAGAAATTAGAGTGATGTCTAAAGCTGAAGCAGGAAAAAGACCTGAAAGAAACTGGAGAAGTAGTGGCATCAGACAGATCTCCATGACCTGAACTAACTAGGGCTCACCTCATGTAAAGGGAGGCATATAAACAAGGCCAAAGGAAAAAGGAAATGTATTAATAAAGGACCCCTGGTTTTCCTAGTCTCCACCCTCCACCAAAAAAGCATATGACCTGCACCCCAAAATATGTTCGCTGTAACCGCCAACAGATCTTATAAAGGGACAAAATAACAATGTCCACTTTGTTTTTATTGCAGCTTCCCATTACGTCCCACAGCCTTCATAAGACAGGTAGAATTTGCTTGTCATGGACATGGTTTAACTGTCTACCAGTAAAGAAAAAAAGTCACATAATAACAAAGGTTTGAGTTATCAAGGTGTGATTTATTTACCTTCAGAGGGCAGCCATGAGATTGTGATGCTGAAGGTCCTGTGGGACCTAAACAAAAGATGTGTTTGAGGATGTGTTTACTGGGATGGAGGTCACCATCACCATCTGAGGATGAGTGTGGAGGGAAATTCAATAGAATAAGGGTTCAATTTTCTATCAGAAAACTGTATGCTGTTATGTTAAAAGGTACGTTTCATTTTGGTGTACTTTTCTTACAGCTTGTAAGTACCAAACCTTTAGAAAAAATATTGCTTTCCAGCTCCTCACTCATGTTTTTAAGTCACAACAGTTCATAGTTGAGTATGGGATGTATGATGCTAAACTAAATCTGGGAGTGATTTGTTCTGAAAGAAAATCAAAAATACATTTGTGACGGAGTATCAAAGCAGTGCGAATTTGGTAACTAACTTGGCATCTACACTGAAAAAAATAATCCTTTGGATTTACTTGATTTTAATGTGTACATCGGTCCCACATGATAAGAATGTGTATGACTGACAACATTTCCTTCTTTTTCTCAATGAATTATTAGTTGTTAAACAAAACAATTTCAATCATATTCAGGTATTTAAAATAATCTAGTTGAGTTAATTTATATTTTTAAGCTACTGCAACACCAATTAATTAATTAGAATGAAAGTGATTTTATCATGTTCAGGATACCTGATTTTCAATAAAACAAACTCGATTTGTTAATGCTAATAATATTTAAATGTGTTATGTAAATTAAAATAAATTTCAGTTTTTTTGTTACAACCCAGGTTAGGTCTCTAAACTAATTTGTTAAAGCCAGCCAAATGCATTGTAGACATCAGTTTTGTGTTGTGTGGAAATACAAAAATCAAACCCGATTGCGTTGGAAAATACTGTATTCTTCCATAAAACTTTAGAAATCACACGCACATGCAGTAATTTTAGCATAGAAATACTAAGCTGTAACCATTATTACACCAGCAGCATTCAAAATACTAATCTCTTATTGCAGTACAAAAGCTGAACAGTTAGTACTGCACAAGTCCACTTGATCAGTTCTAACTGATCAACTGGACACTTGTAGGAACCAGGGGGAGTAAAAACAAACAGAATAGTCCTCATGGTGACATCTAAGGTTGGTTGGTTCACATCAACTTCGGGCCTGACCTTGAAAGACATATATAGGAACACATTCCACCTATAATGTTGGTGATAGCTTCTGATGGTGATAGCGTCTGGTGGCGTCTGGCTTAAATAAATGTTGAAAACTCAGCAACAAATTGCACCAATTCTTCAAGGTAACGAGTAAGCTCAGAGAATGCTGATAATCAAACTGCTGTAAATAATCAGCTAATTGCTTGTATGGCACAGGGGCACACCTTTGCAAACTGCTCGTTTTCCATTGGTCCATCCGCCATCAGTGGCCAATTCAACACATTTTAATAAATGAATAAATCGTTCTTCACGAGAGATTGATGCAAACGTTTTTGTTTTTATGTTACGTTGATTTAAAGATGTATCTTCTCCTCTGTACAACTGTGCCAAAAATCACCCATAAACTGCCAGCCTAAAGAGTGTTAAACTGCTGTTCGCCCTTCTCTCCGTCTCTGACTGTGAGGACGGGTGTGTGTTTCAGGGCGGGGGGGTAACTTCAAAGCCCTTTCATTAACACTGACTCACATAGTCACAGCAGGCAGTCTAGACGCACATCCAGTGGAAAAAAAGCATGCATAGACACATTGGCATAAGAACAATGAGCCACACATCAAAATCAACTGAGCAGGACGGCCTGAGGGGAAGTGTGTGACAGGACCCTGAATATTGCTCTGATATCCGCTATCAGATCCTAAAGCTTACCTAAGAGGACTTTACATGCTGCTGTCATACCATGCGCTTGAAGTTTGGGCTCGTCCCTCTTGCAGCACCACCTGTGATGTTGGCTCCGGACCCCTGAGCCTCCTTCCTCCTCCAGTGCTGCAGTCCTGTAGCTGAGGGAGTCCTGGCCTTGTGACAAAAGTCAAAGGTGGTGGGGTGACTCTGAGCAGATGGGCCAAGCTCTCCCGCTTGGTTGAGACAGCCTCCATTTTTCACAAATCCTGTAGCATCTGGGGTTCAAGTCACACCGGCGTTTGGGTACCTGGCTCCTCTAGTCCACATGTCGGTATATCCTTGAGGGAGACACGTTTACAGCAGCCCACTGATGCAACTTAAGAAGGGATTCTATGCTATGTATAGCTCAAGTAAGTCTTAAAATTTTCATGTGGTTGTCTGCAAGTTTCAAAGGAAGTGGGCGGATCTGCTCACTTTACATTACATTACATTATCTGCTCACTTGTCTACAAACATCGTGCATATATAGGAAAGAGAAACTTCTCCATAGTGTGACGTAAGGAGACAGACATAAGTCGACCATCTGACATAACAAACACTGCAGTAGTGCTGCAGGATTCTCAATAAAATGAGGACATCATATCTCTCATGTGCTTTTTAGGGAAAGCGTATGGTGCTTTTCTTGTCTGTGCCCTACAAACAAAGAAGGCATTTAGACTTCTATTGAACGACAATTATCTAGACACCAACCCCAGTCAACAACATACTTCAATATTAAAAATGTATACAATATACATCCCTTTCATACATATTTATCTAAATAAGAACCAAGTATGAGCACATCCAGACAAAGATAGCTAGTGCCAAACTTAAAGTACGTTACTTGTGGAGGAGTTCTGCACACCGTAAGGCTCCACATTCATGGTTTATTTCTCTTTTTCTCAATGCAATGATTCCTCTGGAAAGAGAAACATCACGGAGTGAACCCACAGTGGTATGAGTGCTTTCTGGGAATTAGGATCATGAAGTTCTTGTTATACATGTCTGCAGGACTTATATCAGATAAAACGGGATTGAAGAAGCCGCGGCGTCCCAGGTGAGCCGCTGTGTCTGACGAAATTGAGATCACATTTTGGGTGAAAAGCACGATTGCTCTGCAAGTTGTCGCAGCGCTTTGTTGTGCATCTCTAAACAGGCGCCACAATGAGAAAAAAGCATTATCTGAAATTAAAAGTACAATAATGAATTAAAGGACCACCCATTTATTTTTTAAGAGATTTAAAAAAATAACATTTGAATAAATAGCTGTCAACTGAGTCAAAACCTCAACTGAATAATAAGCCTGTCAAGCCTGTTTCATTATAACAATACTATGTGCTTTCCTAAAATGGATTGTAAATGCTGGTTCAGTCCATTACTGGGGGTGATGTGGAACAGTCCACCTGATGGTAGTAATAGGGGTTTTATACACAGTGATTAAACAGGGGGCCAGCTGCACGGATGTAAAAGTTTGGCCTTCTTACTTTAGGTCTCTTGTATAATTTGTTACACAACAACTTCTCTTATTTTGGCTTGTTTATCCGCCACACCTTCAAGACCGGTCCACAATATATGGTCATGAAACCGGTCCGTTAGTCAAAAAAGGTTGGGAAAGCTAATTTAAACCACTTTATTTGGAGGTCAAACTGAACGTGAATACCTTAAATGTACAAATAATCTCTCCTTGCATAACTATAGGCCTTTCTTTATCTTTTGTAACACCTCGCTAGGCGATCCACCGGCTTCAGACACAGAAATCGATGTCCCTACTGTCAAAATGCATCTTGAGGAGGTAAGAGACTTATCAGACGAGCTAGGGGACATGTTAGAGGGGTTGGGAGACTTATTGGAGGAGCTAGGAGACTTATCGAAGGAGGATGAGACATGTTGGATGGCTTAGGAGAGTTACTGGAGGAGCTGGAGACTTGTGGTAGGAGTTAGGAGACTTGTGGAGGGGGTAGGAGAATTATTGAAGGAGCTAGAAGACTTATTGGAGGAGCTACATGCGAGGAACCATTGGTGGGCGAGAATGGAATGGAAGAACTCAGCACTCATGATGTATGATGTGCCCCAAACCAGAAAATTGTGAAATCCGGGTCAGTAAACATAACTACAATCAGCTTAGTAGGTCAAAGTTGAACCAAGAGCTGGGTTTGTAGACACTGAGGAATGTTTACAGGGTGACACTTTAAAGGTGGTTCTCTGAGGAGTTGTCAGACTGCTCTTGGGACTTGACCTGCTGATTGCGTTCTCAGATCTCAGTAATTACCTTGCTGAAAACGATGTTATCATACGTGATAGAAACAGCTGTCAGAGCGGCAAAGGTCCCTCAGCGGACACGGTAGTGGGCCGATCGATTCTCATCACCGGCTGATGGGTGTTGAAGCACACAGCAGAAGGTGTGACATCTCAAATGGGCCGTGAGGTCAACAGTGGAGCCTTTTACAGCCAACATTGTTCCTGGAACTCCTCGAGGTAACGTCTTAGAAGAAGGCGGCTGTTAATCAGAGAGCGAATGCGAAATGGAT